TATTCAAGTGTTGGGGGAAGGACAGTTTTTTAAAATTCATGTTTCCTCCAGCAAGAATGGAAAGATATGGGCAATTCAGGAGAGAAATGGCTAAGAAAAATGATTCTATATGCCCTACCAGACATAAACATAAGGAGAACAATTTGTCACTTAAAGACAAGAGAAGACCCAGAAACAACAGTCTTTGAGTCAGCAAATAAAGACATTAAAATAACCGTAATAAATATCATGCTAGTGGATTTAAAGTAAAACAGCATAAGAGGATTAAATGACAGATGTTAGAGCTAATTACTTTGGTGTTGGGGGAGGGAGTGGACAGGGTAGAGGACACACCTGGATGTACTCTGGGCTTATTTCTGGCTCTCTTCAGGGGTCACTCCTGGCAGGGCTCAAAGAACATAGGTGATGTGCTGCCAGGTCTGGTCCTGGACGCATGGTGCAAGGCAGAAATGCCCTGCCCGCTATATAATTTTTCTCTCTGACTGCCTAAGTACTATTTTTAAGGAGGAAATCCACGGACTTGAGAGTTAGCTCAGGGGGCTGAGCACAGGCTTTGTGTGTCCACCCATTGGGCCATGCTGTTTCTTGTTAAGCGTGTCCCATGGTTGCCGGGGAGATGGCTCAAAGGTTTGGCATGCATTCCTTGAAGTGTGGTACCCAGAATTTGCTTCCCCATCATCCCTTTGTGCCCCTTTTCAAAACCCCAGCACCACCAGGTGTAGCAGTGGGAGTGGCAAGCATTGAATTGTCAGGCCAACTGCCAGGTTGAGTATTTCTGTGAGTGGCCCCCGAACCTGTAAGCTCTGCTGTGGATGCCCCGGGGAAAAAAGAAAATAGGTCAAGGAAGTAACGACCTGTAGTTGCTCATTGCCTCGTGTTATTTGCCGTTTTCTTTTGCTGTTGCTCGTCCTTTCCACCCTGCTGGTGGCCCCAGAAGAGCTTCCCACCAGCTCCCTGAGGCCTGCCCAGGAGAGCTGCACTGCAGCCCCATTAATCTGGAGGCACATTAATGTACTCCTTCTTCTTTTTATCTTTGGAAACTTTTTAAATTGCCTTTTTATTTTTTGTTCCTACTCTTCCCACCCCTCTCATTGTTTAACTGCCTTTAACTGCCTAGTGTACAGAGTAGGTGAAACGAGTCGTATGCTTTGCAGTATGCTCAAAGTACTATTTCAAGAAATAATACTTGGGGCTGGAGCGAGAGCACAACGGGTAGGGCGTGTGCCTTGCATGCGGCCGACCCGGGTTCAATTCCCAGCATCCCATATGGTCCCCTGAGCACCGCCAGGGATAATTCCTGAGTGCAGAGCCAGGAGTGACCCCTGTGCATCGCTGGGTGTGACCCAAAAAGCAAAAAAAAAAAAAAAAAAAAAAAAAAAAACCTTAAATATTTGAGGGACTGAAGCAATAGTACAGCAAATAGGGCATTTGCCTTGCATGTGGCTGACCTGGGGTTGATCCCTGGCACCCCATAGTGTCCCCCAAACATCACCAGGAGTGATTCCTGAGTACAGAGCCAGGAGTAACCCCTGAGCATCACTCGGTGTGGCCAAAACCAAAAGCAAAAAAACATGAAAGTGTTTGCTTGTCTTTGGGTCCAAGTCATCACGCTGGTGTGTGTGTTTTTATACCGTGTCTCTTCTCACCCTCACCACATCTTAAGTTTGCTTGTTTGCAAGTGGTGACTGCTGCCTTTGGCAGAGAGGTTTCAGGTAATTTCTCAGTTTCGTTTTGTTTTAGAAAAATCCGGGGGCTGGAGCAATAGCACAGTGGGTAGGACTTTTGCCTTGCACACGGCCAACCTGGGTTCGATTCCCAGCATCCCATATGGGCCCCCAGCACTGCCAGGAGTAATTCCTGAGTGCAGAGCCAGGAGTAACCCCTGTGCATCGCCGGGTGTGACCCCAAAAAGCAGGGGAAAAAAAGAAAAATCCCTGTAGAAAACCCTCATCCTCCTAACTGCCATGGTGGGTCAGTAAACCTGCCTCTCCCTCCCTCTGACACTCTTCAGCTATCAAGTTCAACTTGTCTGCTCTATTCCACTGTGTTCCTTATTTCCTGGATTTCTATCTGGTGGCTTTGTTTGATCCCACTGTGGCGGACAGAGGCCTTGGGACACACACATTCTGAGTAACTTGATTCCTTCTCATCCACTTGACGCCTCCTGGTTACCCTGGGTGTTCTCCCCTTCTCAAACTGGGGGAAGTTTCCTTTGCCCTCACTCTTGTGTTGGCTTTTTCCTTTGTAGAGTTCACATCTCCCGCTTTCCTTGAATTCATTTCCTCACTCACTTGACTTCCGCCCCAGTACGTCAAGTAAAGGGAGGCTAGACAGAGAAGTTTGGGGAGCTTTCATCTCTGAAAATGTTTTTATTTTCCAGAATGTTACTTCCCATCTCACTTGATGGTTATTGGGCTGGATATAGAATTCTTGGTTGGAAATCATTTCCCCCCAATATTTTAATCTCTGGCTCCTTTGCTCTCTAGAATTCAGTGTTCTTGTGAAGTGAAGTCTGAAACTATTTGGATCACTTGATTCTTGGAAATCATCTCCCCCTCCCCCCCTGCAATATTTGAATCTACGGCTCTTTCGCTAGTCTTCCAGTGTTCTTGTGAAGTCTGAAGCCATTTAGATTATTTTATCCTTGGAAAGGGAGTTGTGTTTCTTCCTAGAAACAGAAAAGACATTCATGTACTGAGAATGGGTGCTTTTTATCTTTGGAAACTTTTTAAATTGCCTTTTTATTTTTTGTTCCTACTCTTCCCACCCCTCTCAGTGTTTAACTGCCTAGAGTTTAGGTAATAAGGTGACAGCGTTGTCAGCATATTGATGTGCATTAGTGTTAGTGTTGATACGCCCCACTGTCATCGAAGTGTCTGGAACCCCCATGGCATGTGCCCTCCAGCCCACATCTTCTTTTTTCTCCCCTGCCCCCTCCCCCGGTTTGGTAATCTGAGTTCTGTAATCCAAGGCTAAGGGTTTGTCATCTTTCAGCACAATCTAGTCCCTTGTTTTGCCTCTGTACTGCGAACACATGGCCTCGTCTGCTATTTGTCCTCCCTCTGACTTTCTTCGCTTACCATGGTGCCCTCCAGTTCCATCCACACCATTGGGGTGAACTGCAAGATTTCATCTTTTCCTCTTAGCTGAGTAATGTTGTGTATATATGTGACAGCTTCTTTCTCCACTCATCTGTTGTTGGACATTTGGGTTGTTGCCATAGCCTGGCTATCGTTCAAAGCACCACAGAAAACATAGGTGTACATATATCTTTCTGGATTTATATTTTGTGGTTTGGGAGTAGATGCCAGAAACTTTATTGTTTTTGCAGTGGCAGGGATCAGACCAGACCCTGAGACTCGTGCTCCTCCACCAGGCTGTATTTCCGACTATTTCCGACCCTGAAGTTGTTGTTTCTTATGATACTTTGGAGGGTCTCGGAGGTTTCCTTGAAATGACTGCGGTGTTTTCTTTCCTTGCGGTGGTTTTGTGGGTGATCTTTTACCTTGTTTTCTTTCCTCCCATGATTGGCTCTCCGTGATGTCATGACAGAGAGCAGGGACTTGGCAGGTGCAGGGAGATCTCGAGCAGACGCTGATAGCCTGTGGAGGCTTTCTGTGGTCTGCCCTGGTGCCAGAGTTTGGTCTAACTCTTGTCTGCTCACGTCATCTCTGGGACACTCTGCCTCCTGATTGATAAAGCTCCAGATTGTTCTGAGGCGGTGAGGTGGCGAGACCCAGTCACGCAGAGGGAGGGGGTGGAGGTTATACTCCAGCTCTTCTCAGACAGCCCCCACCCCAGCCCGGCCCTCTGGGGTGAATCCCACCACCTTACCTGAGGGGAGCATGTCCTGAGCCTGTGGAGTTTCTCTGGTGGAAATCGGTGGTTCTTGGAAGTCCCCGCTGCTAGCTTGGCCTTATCAGCCTCCTTGTCAGCTTCTAAGGTTGTGGGGCTGTTGGCTTTGCTCCTGAGGAAGGGGAGGAACACTCTTTTCAGTTGCAGTAAAATAGGCATAGCATATAATTTTCTATGTAGGTATTTTAGGTGTCCAAAGTAGTGGCTTTAAGGCCGTTCATTCGCATTGTTGTGCAAATTTGTCTTTTAATAATAATAATAAGCTACAAATTAAAAGGCTTATTGGGGGCCCCGGGATGTGCCTTAGTGCCTGTGGGAGGCCCTGGCACTGTCCTCCATCACCGAGTGTGGTACCCCACCCCCAACAACAGAACGAGAAAGAGCAAGAGTTTTCAGTGTGTACGTGGTGCTGTGTTCAGGGGAGCAAACTCAAAGCAGTGCAGCATGATGCGGGAGTAGTGCGAGAGCGCCGTGCAGGAGCAGAATTGATGTGGGAGCGGCGTGGACACCGACCAGCAGAGGCGCACAGGCTCCTCACCGGCCACTTCCTGTCCTGACAGTCATCTGTCACGATTTGTTTGCCATCTCTTTGGGAAGCATTTGGAGGGTGCTCGGCATCAAGGTGCCTTGTGTCTGCTTTCACTGTTGCCGACTGGAAGGGTGCAGATGGAACCCCCAGGCCCTGTGTGCTCTGCTTCCCAGGCTCTTGTGGGCTTGTGCTGCCCATTCCCTGCTCCTTGGATACTATGTGGACACCAGCCCTCGGGCTTTCTGTGCTGGGAACTCCCATATGGAACACCCCCCCATCTCAGTCTCTACCCTAACCCACATTGAGGGGTGGGGAGAGGGGTGAAGGTTGGGGATACGCCCAGTGGTGCTCAGGGCTTGCTCCTGGTGGGCTCAGGGGACCGTCTGTAGTCCTGGGGATTGAAGCTGGATTGGCCACATGCGGGGTGAGCCCCACATTGGCCTGTCACTTACACAGACCAAGGCAGCCTTGGTTCAGTCTCGCCGGCGTCCCCCAGGCCCTTGTGGCCACTCCCAGATGTCACCTGCCTTTCCCACACTACGTGGCTCTGTCGTGGGTGCTTGTGTCCAGGATCCTAGTGCCAGTTTCAAAAGACACTTTCTCCTCTTCCTCCTAGGATATCCGACACGAAGCCAGTGACTTCCCATGTCGAGTGGCCAAACTTCCCAAGAACAAAAACCGAAACAGGTACAGAGATGTCAGTCCCTGTAAGTATTCTCTCACCACCCTGCTCTCACTCCTCATCGCCCCCAGGAGGCCCAGCCTCCGGGGTTCGGTAGCAAGCTCCTGACTTGTTTCCTAGAACGAAGGCATTAGAGACTTTGGGTTGTGGTTCATTTCCACCACGTTAGAGGGGTCAGGTTTCCGTTTCTGGAAAATTCCACCCATTTCAAAGCCCATTTTTGAAAAAGCTGTGACTGTTTTTTATGATGAGTCATTTTCCCGCCAGCTGAAGCAGAGTGAGGCAGAATGGGTTGACTCGGCAACTGAATGCGGCGCACCTGGAGCTTGGGATCGAGCTGGAAGGCTTCCTGCAGGGGTCCTACCCACCCCCTCTGCTGCAGGCAGGCGACAGCCCCTAGGTAGCGCCCCTCGCCTCAGCTCGCTGCCTGCTGGTCCCTGGCAACTGCCCCCGCTTTTGAGGATAGTTGCTCAGAGCTGCAGAGTAAACGGCACTAAACGTGCTAGCAAATGTGGCAAGCCAGGAAAACCACGGGAGGGACAGGAGCTCACTGTCCACTCTAGCCTGGAGGCCTTCTCTGCTCACCTCCCTGCTTCCAAGCCCTGTCGCTGCCCACAGCTCCTGTGGCCTGCATTCTGGTCGGGACCTGGAAGAACCTCGGTTGTTTCCCCCACGGGCCCTTTCCCAGGTTCCCTTCCAGTGCGCATGGTGCCATCTGGAGAGCCCCCAAGCTCGTGGGAAGGGACAGAGCTGCCGTGGGCCTGGGACTGGTTGCCTGGCTCCCTGCCTGGGTTGGTAATCTCAGCCCACCCCTGAGCTGTATGTCTCCGGGCACGCTGGTCCCCTCTCTGAACTTCACTGGAACAAGAGACCCTCCAGGTAGAATTGTACGCAGATGAAAGAAAAAACAGAAGCCACTGTGTGTGTGTCCCACCCACAAACCATGACCCCATGAAATGGTGGCTTGCTATTCGCTCAGGTGTGCGCCAGGGACATCTAAAGTGCAGTTCCAGTCCCCCAGAAGCATGGGACACACCCTGACACCCTCTCCCCATGACATAGCACACCCGGTCTATGGACAATGTCTTCCGGGTGATTCATTCCCCCCTGGGGTTCCTTCGAGGCGGCATTTTCAGGTTTCAGGCTTATGCTGACATGGCTCAGAATAGTAAAGCGGGTCCTGTGATGGAGCTTTATCGGCGCTCAGCCAGGTGACTTCGGGGAGCCAGTTTTAGAGAACGGGGCATGTATGTAGTTAGCCACCATCTAGCAACTCTCAAGCCTTCCCATTGCCATCTTCAGGGCTTCTTGATCTCTCCTACTCTCCCGTAGAGAACGTCCTTTGCGTTTTAGGTTAGGGGGTCTCCGAGGGAAAAATTAAGGGGCTCACTGTCTTTGTTTGGCACCTGGAAAGTACAGCCCCCCAACAGCTGAATTGTCCACCCAAGGTCACTACAGAGTTGTTTGAACCTCCTCCTATTGCACTGTTTGCAGAATTTTTATTCCCACGGTCCACTTAGTATTACCTAAGTATTTGTATTTGAATAAAGATCGACAGGCGCTGCTGCTGCTGATGCTGTGTAGGTCTCTTCTCCAGACCACTGTGGGGACGAGATATGTTCACAGGCCCTACCTGATGGCTGGGCTTAGCACCCTGGCCTCAGGGACTGGGTATTTTTGTGGTGTATTTTGTTTCCTTGTAAAGATAAAGCCTCTCTAATGTTTTTCCCTACCAGAGTGTCTGTTCGACATCTGAATCTCCACATCTGTCCCACTGTTCCCCCCACACCCTGTCGGGTTGCTCATTACCCTCGGGGAACTGACCCAGGAACCTTTCCCCAAGTGGGATGAGATTTTGTGTGTACTGTAGCTTCTCTCTTGCTATTTAGCATTCTGTGAAATCCTTCAGGAAGCCTTTCCGGAACACTGTGCTCCCCCGACTTGAGGATGCACCTCAGTTACAAGAGCACATCCGCAGCTGGTGTGGACGCCTTCACTTTCCTGGACTGGCCGCACTGTCTGTGTGGACACTGGGATTCTGCAGGGCTGACCTCTGGGCGTGCACTGCAGTGTGGACTCTGAGATTCCACAGGGCTAACCTCTGGGGCCTGCCTTGCCTTTCAGTTGATCACAGTCGGGTTCGGCTGCATCAAGAGGACAACGACTATATCAATGCTAGTCTGATCCGGATGGAAGAAGCCCAGAGGAGTTATATCCTGACCCAGGTAAACGACTACCTAAGGGTTGTGTGGAGCTTTGCCCCACACACCGTTGACTAAAGGGTGTTCAGGCATCCTTGAGAAAGGTGGTCGTTGGGCCACCAAAAGAGCAACCAGGGGAAACCTTTCAGGGATTCAGTTTGGCGGGAAGCCTGACACTCTGGGAGAGCAGGAGCAGCAGAGTAGCCTGTGGGCAGGGGCCCAGAGGGGCCTCAGGGAGCACTGGGCCTCGAGCAGGGCAGGGCCAGGAGCTCTTGATGAAGCTGGCGGTGAGCAGTAGAGCAGGGTTCTTGGCCAGGCGTCCATCCGGATGCCGCAGTGCCAGCCCAGCTCTCTGGCTGGAACACACATGCTTGGGTTCAAACACAAGCATAGAGAGTATTTAGAATCCTCAGTGACCTCAGGGTTTACAGCTCTGGGGGCAGGGGAGCACGACATGCTTGGGTTCACATTATCCCAGAGCATTTAGACTCCTTGGTGACCTCAAGGTTTTCCGCTCTAGGGGGGTTTGAGCAGCAGCTTGAGAATGATGCTGGGGATGAAAAGCCTTTGGGGAGGAGGGCGGTGAGCAGGAACGATAGTACAGCAGGTCGGCTGTTTTGCCTTGCATGTAGCCAACCCGGGTTCGATCCCCAGCATCCCAATACCGTCCCCTGAGCACTGCCCAGGAGTGCAGATCCAAGAGTAACCCCTGAGGTGTGACCCAAAAAGCAAACCAAACAAAAAACCTAATGAGCACAGGCTGCTTTGCGGTGCGTGGTGCTTCTTCATTGCCCCGGTTCCTTTTGGTCATCAGCCCAGCAGGACTCTGTCCTGTGAACTGCCGGGTTCATCCTTGCTGTACATACGGTCTCTGGCCTTTCCCAGGCCCTCACTGCCCGGGTCTTGGGCCAGGGTGACAAGGAGGAAGGGGCCTGGTGGTAGCCGAGTGCTCGGAAGAGGTAGTGGCCAAGATGGCTTTTCAGGGACTCTCTTTTTAGATGCAGGTTTCTGACTTCCTGGTTGCAGCCCTTCAACCACCCCCCAGGGTCTGGAGGCCACAGCCAAGTTTGAGAAGGTGCCTGATGTTGAAACCACCATGGAAACTCATGCCCCATTGTCGTCCCCCACCCTGCTCCCTCCCCAGTCCCTGGCAGTTACTTGGCACCCCTGTTCCGTGGGTTTGGAAGGTACCTGCCATGGTTCTGACTGTCCACATGCTGGGATTCACAGAAGGGAGCAGTCTGACCACACTGCTGCACCCTTCATCAAATGACTGAAGCTTTTCCCAAGGCACAAAACCAAGAGAATTTTTCTTAGGGTTTTAGTTTCCGTATTTGTCTCTATCTTTCTGAATGCTAGAGGTGTAGAAATATAGAGAATAACAGCAGAGACCCTGGCCCACATCCCTCAAGAAGGATCTGTCGGCTGCTGGGACTGGAGTGTAGAGAAGTGGGGAGGGCACTTCTTGGATGGGCAGACCCAGGTGCAGTCCCTGGCATTCCATAGGGTCCCCTGTGCTCCGCCAGGAGTGATCCCAGAGTGCAGAGCCAGGAATAAGTCCTGAACCCCCCCCCCCAAAAAAAATGCTGCATTTGGTGTTTCCTTTTAAATCCCAAATGATCTCTCAGTCTCATTTAAACTCGGGTTGGGATGGGCAGGAAAGGCTCCAGCTGCTGAGAAAGCCAAGAACTGCAGCTGTGGTAAACCCTCTGATTGGTCCTCGTGCCCAGATGGCTAGCGAGGAGGCTGCAGGGGGATGGCCATCAGATGGCAGCCCCACTGTCGGGGTGCCCTACCACGGAGGCTCAGGTGCAGGTGCAGGTCCAAGGTGAGCTCTGGAGGAAAATGAGAAACTCGAGGCCTCAGGATGTGTGGAAGGAATTTCAGGGGAGAGAGGGAAAGATGGAGAAGATTCCAGGTGGGCCTGAGCACCGTCCTCAACGCAGCACCATTGGAGGAGACTGTAGGGGTGCCCTCCCAGCAGTATGAACCTCACACAGAAGGGACGCTGGACTCGTGACACCCCTCCCACACACACACCCCAGGTGTCCACTTCTTTCTTCCTTGGTCCAGGCTCTCTGAGCCAGGTGATCAGGTCTCCCCGGATCTTCGTCCCCACAATTGGATGTTTCCAGAGGCTGTGACGCAGTTTTGATGTCTCTGAACATAGTTAAACTTTCATGGCCCTGTGAACAAAATCAGTGAGATTGCAAGGGAAACTGAGGCTGGAACAGTGAAATGACTTGCCCCCAGGCCCCAGCTCAGGTGCCAGGTCACATCCAACACTCCCTGGCTGGAAGTGTTCCCTTTTGAATCTGTTAAAAACCCAGTTGTGTCCCACATGCCATGCCCCCCTACAGGGGACACCTGGCAGAGCCCCTCAGCCAGCCCAAGGCAGAGCACAGAGTCATGCTTCTCTCCTCGCTTGGCCAGCCCTGCACTGAGAGTGGGCGGAAGTGACCCCTCACCACCTGGTAGAAATAGAATTGTGGTCCCCGGCCCCGCCCACTGGCTGCTGTTGAAATGATGCCTTTGTGGACTGTTTGCAGGGCCCTCTGCCCAACACGTGCGGCCACTTCTGGGAGATGGTGTGGGAGCAGAAGAGCAGGGGCGTGGTCATGCTCAACCGCGTGATGGAGAAAGGCTCGGTAAGTCTGCCCTGTCCGGGCTCTTGCTCTGCCCCTGGTTCCAGGGCCCCGCCGCCCCCTGACCCCAGGGAACTGTGCTGCCGCTCTTGTGTCATGGAACCGGTGGGAGCAGTTTCTGTCTATTCCCGATGCCACCGCAGCCATCTGTGTCACATCTGCTTTTTGGGTTGGCCCCGGCGTGCCACCTGCTGAGTGAGCCCGGGCCACTGGGTTCCGGGGCTGCCTATCACATGTTGGCACTGCCTTGCCCATGCCTGTGCTCAGGGCCCTGTCAGCCTTCTGCCCCCATGCAAAGTGTATTTGCTTCTCGAAGTATATTTGGGCTGGTGGTTGGTCGTTCCCTGGGCCTCCCCCCTGTGTCCCCCCCTACACACACACCTGCACTCCTGCCTCCAGAGGGTCTCTCACTGCAAACCAAGTATCCACACCCCACTTTTTTGCTGAGTTTTGCCTCCCCCGCCCCCAGCTTCCTCCCTTCCAAACTGCAGGCAGCCTGATGTTTTTCTGTTGACGTTTCTTGCCCTGTTTCCTGGGTTCAGGAGCAAATCCCAGCACCCACTTGTACTGTGGCCAGTATGCCTCCTGCCCATCACTCCAGGCCTTTTGCATGCCTGGCTCCTGAACTCCCTGTGGGGTGCAGGGCACCTTATGGTCCACAGTGAGTTTCAGCACCAGTCAGTTTCCACCAACTGCCAGAGGAATGTGGAAACAAGCAAGAAGTTGGGTGCCCAGAGCAGAGAACCAGGGGTACGCAGGCCTCCAGGGGCTCCTCTGGGCACCCACTCTACAAACTCCTCGGGTGCCTCCAGCACAGGACTCTGGGGAAGCCACCTGCCCCTCCCCTCCCAAGAAAACTATCAGGCATGGTCCAAACTCGGGGCTTGATGCCCCACTTCAGAGAGGAAAGTGTTGATTGTCCAGCGGTTCCTGAGGGCTTGCCGAGTGGTCAGCGATGAAATCATGCCATTTGTCATAGAAGAAAACATCTCCGGGAATCTAGGTTTTCACTCTTCCTCAGCTTCACCAGCTGGGTTTGTGAAATGCGAAGTTTTAAGTGTCACCGCTCTGGGCAGCGACTGGGTTCCTGCAGCCCAGGGTCTGGGCAGCAGTGAAGCTGGGGGTGGGCTCTGTGTGCAGCTCTGGTCTCTGCCTGGGATAATCCCCAAACTGAGAACCCTGCTCTCAGGCTGGACAGCTGGCCGTCATTGGAGATGGCAGGTTTTTTGTTCCGGGAAGTGGAGGCGAGAGCTCTCCCTTTAGCACCAGCCTCTGCTGGCTGTGCCTGCGCCACCCTGTGGTGGCTGGTGCATCCCCAGGCCCTGCTGCTTGGCTGGGCTCTGGCCACCCCTGATCACGTGCCAGCTGTCCCTGTTTCCTGTCTGACTCTGCTTCCCACACGGGGCCCCGGGACATGCAAATTATCATGAAAAGCAGCATACAGATGTGATTCCGCAAGTTTTCTGGGGATCGACGTTTTCTTTTTGGCGTCAATGTCATCACCCCCGGAGAGCTGACTGGGGAGCTAGAGGACATTCATTGCCTCTGGGCGCAGCTCGATGACAGGCACAGTCTGCCAGGTTTGTTACCTGGCCCCAGCTTCTGAGCAAGGATGCGCCCTCCTTACTGTTGGCTAGCCTCCGTGTTTGCCTCAGGGACCCCTTGCATCCTGGGAAACAGTTGTGCAGGAAGTTTCATGGGGTGGAACAGGGTCGTCTGAAGGGTCTGAGCCTGTGGGTTTAAGCCCAAACTTGAGTTTAGCCATTGGAGGCGGCGGGGTGGGGACTCTGATTGGCCGCAGGAAGTTGGTAGCTTCTGTGAACCAGATCTGGGCAGGATCTCTCCTGAATCCTCCTGATGAAGCGCAGGGCAGCAGGTCCTCAGGTATCCCTGCCTGCCGGCTTCTGTGTCCCTCAACCCTAAGAGGTTTGAGTCATCCTCCATGATGCCAGTACAGAGTTCTGGGGGCTGGCCTGGCCCCAAGGCCCCTGTTCACTTGGGAGTACCCGCAGTTGGCCAGCGTGCTGCCTTGCCATCTGGGTCCTGGTGAGGACGGCTTACTAACCAGGTCAGCGGGCCCAGGCCTGTGTGTGCCCCAGAGGCTTCCCTGTGAAAGGCAGCATGGGGCTTGGCTGTGGTCTGAAAAGCAGCCCTTGGCCCCAGCCACTGAGTTGTCATTGCAGCGTTAAACTGGGTTCCAGGTGTCACACATGTGTCCCCTTGTCCTGGGGCTGTCTGACGTTGGCAGTTATAATCCCTTAGGTGTCTGTCATGATCATACTGCCACTCCCTGGCCAGAACAGCCCACCGCAGTGTCGGCACCTGGCCCAGAATCCTGGCAGAGCAGAGCAGGCCACAGACTCTGACGGGCACTTCCTAATGCCTACAGGAAACCGGATCTTTGGGTGTTCTCTCTCACTTCAGAGAAACATGGTTTAGTGGCTTACATTTTAATCCAGGCTGTCAAGTAATTTTGAAGCGATCTAGAACATGGGAAGAATTTGGATAGGACCAACAACAGAATGGAAGGGGGTTGGGCAGGGCAGTGGGGGACCCCAGTCCTCAGAGGATGCCTCCAGCATTCAGAGACCAACTCCTAGAGGCTTCTGTCTCCATCCTCACCCCAGGAGAAGGAGCGGTCAGGAGTTTCAGGGAAACAAGCGGGCCATGCCCTCTAGCCTCACCTCTGAGGTGAAAGAAAAGAATCAGAGCCCAGTACTTTCCTCCAGGTAGGGCCAGGGGACTGGTCAGCACAGCTCAGTCCCTCCCTGTCCACCCAGGAGGAGACCAGTTGGCCCCAACGATGATGACGGTCAGCCTGGGCCTCCGAGAGGCCATGGGGGCCCAGTAACCCTATGGAGTGTCCTTCCTCCCCCAGTTAAAGTGCGCGCAGTACTGGCCCCAAAAGGAGGAGAAGGAAATGGTCTTTGAAGACACCAACTTGAAGCTGACGTTGGTCTCGGAAGACATCAAGTCCTACTACACAGTGCGGCAGCTGGAGCTGGAGAACCTGACGGTGAGGGCTGCGCCTCCCTGTGCTTGGGTGGCACCACCGTGGGCCGGGTGTCCTGGGGTTTGTCTCCCATCAAGCAGGGAAGCAAGTGCCTGGGCACCAAGGCAAGCAAGGGAGGGAACTGCGTGCTGGGCACTGTGTTCAGTGGTGCCTTCCCAGATTGGCATGTCCTGGGTAAAGGAGTCTTCCTTGGTGCTCCTGAGCACTCGCGAGGATACTCCGCCGTTGGAGCTACAGATGTTCAGAGTGAACTTTGGCCAGCTCCAGGCAGCTCGCCCTGCTTGTTGAGGGAGATGGAATTCAGACTGCGTGGGACTCGGTGCTGCATGCGTGACTGAACGCAGTCGCTTGGTGGTCGCAGTGTGGAGAGCTCTCTGTTTGCTCTTAGGAGACTGTTTTATCAGAGTCTTTCTCAGATGTGTTCAAGCCCAGAGGAGATTCCTGGGGAAAGAGCCGGGGTATGGTCATGGAGGGGGATGGGGTGCAAACAGGAGCAAGCCCCACTTTGTCAAGGTGTAAATGAAAGAAGTTACTTAAGAATCCAACATGGATTCTTAATCTGGTTGTTAAATACATTTTCAGGTGCTTTTCTGGAGTGTCTGGGTAAGAGTGTGTTTTGCCAGGTATTCAACAGGAGGGTCCTGTTCTACTGCTCAGCCCAAAGTGATGGGAGGGGGGTGGCAGGGGAACTCCCAAATGGTGTTCAGCATGTCTTGGGGACCCAACAGTGATTCCCGACCATCCAGACTGAGATGCTCCAGCCAGCCCTTCAGTATTCGGGGCCTCCGGGGCCGGGGTTTTGGGGAAAGGGCTACACCCGTTGAAAGTCCATGTGGTACCAGATTGGGTCCTGGTAGGTGTGCACCCTAACCACTCTGTCTGCTCACCCCAAGATAAAGGGAATGGGGTGCTTGGTGGGGTGAGGCTGTTGGTGCGTCCATAAATTTGCATCATCCAGGCCTCAAGCTATGCATGTTGTGAGAGACGGTGCCTCTCACCCAGCCCAGCCTGGCCCGAGACCTCTGGGAGATTCTGGCCAGTTAAAGAAAATGTTGATAAGACAGATCTCTGGTCTGAAGCATTTTGCCCTTAGCCCTGTAGAACTGGTTTGGGTCCTGCCTGCCGCCACCTTCCTATGCCCGCCATCGCAAAGCGAGCCCCCTGCCCGCCTTCCCGTGCTTGCCCCTTTGTGCTGGGTGCCCTGAGAGAAGGAAGGAAAGATCTGCATGCACGCCCGGGGACCTGCGCACTGCCCGATGCCCCGGGAGTGGACACTCTGGGCCTGACTGGAGGACTGAGCTGAACTCTCCCCAGAGCCCCTTCTCTCTGTTTCTGGGGAGCAGTTGGGGCCCCTAGGAAAACTTCCAGAGGCGAGCCACCCTCCATCTGGTGGGAGGACCCCAGCTCTGGAGTGGAGAGTGAGCCCCAGTTTGGGCCATTCATGGTCAGCTTTGCCGGCCTCAGCTGTCTTTGGTGACCTGGTTAGCTCCTTTTCTTTCCATGTGCCACATACGTGCCACACATGGTGTGTCTCTTCACCTCGACGTGGAGGGGGCAGGGGGCTGACGAGAGCAGAGGAGGGGCACCCTGTAGAACAGAGGCAGCTGGCGGGTCTGTCCCCAGAGCAGGGGTGTCCACTGGGAGGTTGAGTGGACAGGGCGGGGGTCCTGAGAAGCTCGTCAGGAGATGGGGAGAGGCACGCAGGGCAGGGGGCAGTGAACCTTGGGGCCTGATTCCCAGACGCAGAACGGCTCTCTCCTTCCAGTCTCAGGAGACTCGCGAGATCTTACACTTCCACTATACCACCTGGCCTGACTTTGGAGTTCCCGAATCGCCAGCCTCGTTCCTCAACTTCCTTTTCAAAGTCCGCGAGTCGGGATCCCTCAGCCTGGAGTACGGCCCCATCGTGGTGCACTGCAGCGCGGGCATCGGCCGGTCGGGCACCTTCTGTCTGGCTGACACGTGCCTCCTGCTGGTAAGGGGGCCCGGGCGCCGTTGCGCCTCTGCTGCTCTGCGGCCCACACGCTCTGCCCTTTCTCGGCTGCGGTCCAGGAAAGGAGCTTGTGCCCAGAGTAGCCCTGGTGAGGGGACTGCTGTCATGCTTGTGGGGCTCGGGAGGGGCCACAGCCCGTCTTCCTCTTTCTCTGCCCTGTACTCAGCGGCTGCCAGTTTCATGCTCTGGGTTTTCCTTAGCAGAAAGTGGAGCTCGCCTCCAGAACCAAGTCCCACTGCCCTTGTGGGCAGAGTTGGCCCGACGGTGCCTCTTCCCTGTCTTTCAGATGGACAGAAGGAAAGACCCTTCATCTGTCAACATCAGGAAGGTCCTGTTAGAAATGAGGAAATTCCGGATGGGGCTGATCCAGACAGCGGACCAGCTCCGCTTCTCCTACCTGGCTGTGATCGAAGGTGCCAAATTCATCATGGGAGACGCCTCCGTGCAGGTCAGCGTTGCTGTGGTTCAGCGGGTGGGTCTAGGGTCTGATCCTTTGTACAGGCCCCAGTACTGTCCCGCGTCCGAGAAAATGGCCAGAGAGCCCTGTTCGTGCGCAGGGAGTCCTGTTTCTGCCGCGATGATGCACGCTCGCATCCAGCCTTGGTAGTGGTAGGAGGCTGTTGGCAGAGATTCTCTCCCGAGTCCCTGTGTGGAGCCCCTCACCTAGGAAGGGGTGGGTTTCCGAACCAGTCAGTGGGGCTTGCCTCTTGCTGCCCTTTTTTGGGAGGGCTGGGGAGGGGGGACCGCACCCGGCGGTGCTCGGGGGTTCCTCCAGGGCCCTGCACTCAGTGATCACTCCCAACGGGCTCCGGGAATTCTCTGGGGTGCCGGGGATGGAACCCGGGTCAGCCTCGTGCAAGTCAAGTGCGCTGCAGCCCCGCTTGCCGCCCTCTCCAGGAGCAGTGGAAGGAGCTCTCCCACGAGGACCTGGACCCCCCACCCGAGCACTTGCCCCCTCCTCCCCGGCCGCCCAAACGCATCCTGGAGCCACACAACGGCAAATGCAAGGAGTTCTTCCCAAATCATCAGTGGGCAAAGGAAGAGCCTGAGGCGGACAAAGTGGACGGCCCCATCAAGGAAGAAACTCGAGCCCCCTTAAACGTCCCCCCGAGCCTGGAAAGGTAGAGGGGCAGGCCTGAAGGCTTTAGGGTTCCTGGGGCCCTTGCGAGAGAGTGGCTGACTGGGGGCGCTGGCGCCACCTTGTGGTGCCGGCCAGATCAGCTCAGGCCTACCCTGCTGCCTGCAGCCTCCTGTCTCCCCAGAGGCCCGCGCGTGTGTGTGTATGTGTGTGTGTGTGTGTGTGTGTGTGTGTGTGTCCCGTGTGTGTGTGTGTGTGTGTCCCGTGTGTGTGTGTGTGTGTGTGTGTGTGTGTGTGTGTGTGTGTGTGTGTGTCCCGTGTGTGTGTGTCCCGTGTGTGTGTGTGTGCGCGCGCGCCCTTCTGGTGGAGGTGAGGGGAGACGGGAAAAGCTTGGGAGGCGAGAGGTGAGAGGCAGGCCTCCCTCGAGACAGCCCAGGACCTAGAACATGGGTAGCCTCGCTCCTGGGGCCAGCAGGCCTGTGTGGGGCCGTGGCTGCCGCCTGAGGCCAAAGTAGCCAAAGTAGTCGTGGGGGGTTCTTCAGGCAGTCCCCACCTCTTCAGTTCTCGTCTCAGGGCTTCCTGGGGGTGGGGGCTGTGGGCAGCAGACCACCAGTTTCCCCTTCCTCCCACTTCCTTCAGGCAGTAACTCGTCTTTCCACCTCCTTTGGCAGCACGAGTCAAGACACTGAAGTCCGACGGCGGGTGACGGGGGGCGAGCATGCCCAGGGGGAGCCCTCGGCAGCCCGTGAGGAGCAGGAGCGGGCGGCCGCTCCCTGGAGGCCCTTTCTGGTGCACATGTGCGTGGCCGCGGTGCTCTCGGCCGGCGCCTACCTCTGCTACCGGGTCTGTTTCCACTGAGGACAGCGATACGACTGAGCGCGGGCACAGCGCTGGCGACAGCCCGGCCGCAGCATCGGCGCTGCAAGGATCTGAGCCCATCTCAGAAGCGGCAGCTCCAGGGCTGAAGGCGGGGACTGCGAAGGGCTAGCGGAGGACCGAGGGTCGACCCCGGGGTGTGAGGCGCCCTGCGGTCGCAGGACACAGAGACTAATCTCAGGGCCTTCCCTTTTCAGGAGTAAGTAGAGAAAATGCCAAATACATCTGTCTCTCTCTTCTTTCCTCTCTCTTCTTCCCCTCCACCCTCTCTGTCTGTCTCTCTCTCTCTCTCTCTCTCTCTCTCTCTCATTCTCATTCTCCCCCCCCCTTTTTTTTTTGGAAGAGAAAATAGAGTTACAACACATTGTTGTTTTTAACCTTTATAAAAAGTAGCTTTGGGTTATTTTGGAGGTGGGGGAGACTAGGCACTTAGGGGGCTCTCTTGTACTGTGGTAGTATCGTGAGAAAGCATGTTTCCTCATGTTTCCCGGGAGCCTTCCCTGGGGGAGAGGTGCACCCTGGCCCCCCTAGAAACCACGCTGGCTTCCGCTTCTGCTCAGGGGCCTCCTGCCTGCTCCATTGTTTCTCTCCTCCCTCCTGCACATGGCAGCCGGCCCGCCCACGGCCCTTCCTGCCCCTTCCCCAACTCGGGATCCTCGAGGCCCCTGCTCAGGTGCCAGTCGCTGCAGGGCAGCTGCTGGCCTGGCCCCCACCACTGAGGTCTGGAGGGAGCGGTTTGCACTGGGTTGGGAGTTTCTGTGCCCGCCTCGGAGGCCATTGCTGTTCGTGCAGGGAGCCGGGAGCGGAACACCCAGGTGCTGGGGAGGAGTCGCCACCCTGGATGTCTTCTGGGCTGTTCCAAGTTTTTCCCTCTTCCCAGGCGACCATCTCGGAGCATATCCGATGGTTTTGCTGTAATACCCACGATTTTTTTCCTCGGAGGCAAGTTTTGGGTAGGGGGCCCCAAGTGTAAAAGGAGAAAAAGCGAAAAAGCCACTCCCCCTTCCCGAGGCCAGTGTGAGGGCCACGTGTCAGCCGGGGAAGGAAGTCCTCGGCTCCGCAGGGCAGATCCAGGCTCATTCGAAAATATTTGGTTCCGTTCCAGTTCCTGCTCAGCAGCAACCCATAATCTGACCCCCACCCCACCTCCGCTCCACCTGCACCCCGCTGTCGGTCTCTGCTCCTAGAACCCACACCCAGCTAGCCGGCCTACCGCAGTAGGGAAGGGCTGAGGGCTGCGTGGGCAGCGGGCCTCACAGAGCCACCTGCCCACTTCTCCTCGCCCCTCCCCCGGCCTGTGCTCCCACACCCATCCACAGCCAGTCGCAGAAGAGAGAGAGCCCCCTGCTGGGGGCCAGGCTTGCCCCCCAGGTGCTACCCTGGACATGTCCTGGTGCCTCCCAGGTGGTTGGCACCAGCATCCTCCCTGGAGCACCCTCCTCGGAGTGGGAGGGAGGGCGCCTTCCACTCCGTATTTATTTTTTTATTCCCTCCCCCCAAAAAAGTGTCCATAGTGCACTAGAATTTTCCTAAACCAGTAATGTATTAAGACTTTTTTGATGTCAGCCTTGCATCAAGGGCTTTATCAAAAAGTACAATAGCGAACCCTCAGGTAGGGCCGGGCACGGAGCACTTGGCCGCGCCTGCTGCGGCCACAGGCTGGGATGGAGGACGGTGGTGATCAGTTGGCACACGTGGCTGTGCAGGCCGCGCCGGAAGACGCTGGGATAATGTATAACGGACACTTGGGTATTTAAGACGCGCGACGTGAGATGAGTTTGTCCCGATGAGGCCCCTCCCCTGGGATCTGCTAGAACCTTCCCTCAAACCCCACTTTCCCGTATATTAGCACGCATGTGCGTCCTCTCGTTGCCCGGCCCCATCCCCCTTGCTTCAGAAACCGAGCGCTCTGCTCTCCCGTGCATGTTCGGCCCCTGGACTGGCTGCGGAGGCCGGGCTGGAGCGCGCGCCACCCACCCGCGGGCCCATGTTGACACTCCCTGGTCTTGGCCTGACTCCCGGTACGGCACCTCGGTGACTTTCCCAGCGACTCCCAGCCTGGCCTCGTCCTGACATTCCACGGGTCCATAGGCACCCCTCCTACCCTGAACATTGAGGCACATGGAGCCCCCACCCCTAGCCCTGCACTTTGGGGACCAGCCTCGACTGTCCCATGTCCATGCTCTCCTGGGGCAGCCGGGATCTGAAACCACACATCGGAGACAGCCTGGCTGACAGCCCCGGCGGCCGCCGCTGACTGCTTGATCCGGGGGGCCTGGCCAGGAGACCCCAGGGACCGATGGTGCTCACGACTCTTCCTGCGAGGGATCTCCAGACCTCCGCCCTCAGTGGCTGCTTCAACTGAACCAGAACAACACCGTGGCAGCCGGAGCTCCGAGCTGCCTTTGGCCAGCATTTTCACCTTTTGCCTTTCACGTGCAGAGGAATTCTGTGGCGGGAACATTCGAGGCGGTGCCCTGCAGAGCCGGGGGGGTGGGGGGCGGCCAAGGGCCGGGTCGGCGTGGCCACAGCCCTGGAGCTCGGCGTGTACATATATCTAGATCTCTGTAGTAGCATTTCTCATGGCTAGACTGGTTTCCCCTCCCGTCCGTGGGAAGCATGGGCCCCTCTCGTCCCATATTCGATAGAGAAGTAGCGAGCCGCCCTGCTCTATGCCTTAAGCCAATATTTACTCAGCGGGTCATTCTTTTCCACAGTGGCCATGGAATCAACCGTTTGTACGAAAATAAAAACAAACCGAACAAGCGAGGTGTTTGTAGCCTGCCTTTCTGGGGTGTCTGCCAGCAGAGGTGGGGGCGCTGAGAGGGAGGCAGGGATGCTCTCGGGGTCCTCTGTGCCCTTCCAGAACCACCCAGCTGTACCATTCCCACCTCATCATGGAAATGGCTGCTTTGCCGTTTACTTGGAACGATAAAAATGTTCTTGTCAAGAGCATGGATGTGGGGGTCTCTCACTGCATGGCCTGTGGCTCCAGATCAGGGTGGGCCGTGTCCTCCTTTCCCTCCCTGCTGATGGGGAGTAGATGGGGCGGGGAGTTGCCAGATCCCCCCTTACGGGGACTGGCAGATGGTTCCCGCACCAGGTTTCTGCCCCAGCCCCCGCCCAACCTCCCCCCCTCGTGTGTGTCCTGCCTGCACTGTCTGAGGGCCAGCTCTCTCCCGTCCCCCCCGGGGACCTGTGTCTCGTACCGAGGCCACGGTGAGATGGAGGCACGTGTGCAGGCGCCCCTTTCCCGTAACCCATCCAAAGCCCGCCTCCCCACACACCTGGTGATTGTTTTTGGGGAGTTTGATTGACTTAACTTTTGGGCTTTGAAATGATTTCGAAATTGTGACATATCAAGAATGAGCTTTCTAGGGGGAAAATAAGCTCTTTGACCTCTCGGGCCTTGTGGCAAGCTAGAGGTGCTGGTGCCCCCAGTGAGGGCCGTGGAAGCCCAACTGCACCACTGTCACTCAGACCTTGGTTTTAAAGAAACTGCATCCAGGAAGATGTGTGAGGCCCGTGTGGAAGAAAAGCCGTCCAGGAGTCGGAGGGGCCCGAGACCGGACTCAGCTCTGGTGCTCTGCCGACCGCAGGCTGCACTTGGGCCTCCGAGAGCCAGAGGGAGGTGGGAAAGTGCCTCCTCCAGGCCACCACCCTGGATCCCCCCCAAACAGGGTCACGCCGGAAAGAGGCAGTCAGAGCAGGGGGCATGTGTAGGGAAGAGCCGGGACTCGGAAATGGTTTCTCTCTCTTTAATGGGAATTCCAGAAAGTTCAGCACGTGAACGTGGCAAATAAATACTAAGTTCAACTGAAAAGCAGAGTCTTCACGGCCGTGAGGAGGCATGACGCGCCCCCCCCACGCCAGCCCCCACTCCACGACTTAAATCCTTTTCTTCAGAGCGACCCACTCTACACACCAGCTCTGGAGGCGCACGCACATACACACGCAGTCACACTCACACTGGCTCTTGTTTGGGTGGGGTGTGATCAGAGCCCGCCTTTTTACTTCAGCCCGGGCCCTGCCAGCACCCCCTTCTCTCCACTGCCCAGTTCCCCAAGACAGCTCACTGCACCTGAGGCGCTCAGCAGGGTCGCCCAACTGGCCTGTCCCCCTGGTCCCGGTCCGGACGGGGGGCTACTTGGGCTCTGCTCAGGGCATCTCGTGGGGCACGGAACCCCAGCCTGCGTGCAGCCCCCCGTGCTGCCTTGTGCAGACCTCACTTGCTGCCCACGCCGCAGCCTGCCCCAGGCCTCTGCCTGTCCGAGGGGCAGGCCGGAAACCCCCACCCCCCGTGCCAGAAGCCCCTTTGCTCGGGCAGGAGCCCCGCCGCCCATGCAGATGGGGCACAGTGCCCCTGCTCCAGCCGTCATGGCTGGGTAGCGGGCAATGTAGAGAAGCCAGGGGTGAGCGTGTCGACCGAGGCTTCTTAAAATACTGTGATTTCAACGTCTGGCTCCTGGCTGAAGGCCGCTGCTCTCTGCTCCCAGCAAAGTCGGTCCATCTTCTCAAACGCGAGGCGGCCTTTTTCCCCTGAAATGGAAAAGGGGCAGCTGATGGCGTTCCCTTGGGGACCCCTGCCCGGCTTGTGAGTCACAGATGGCCCTGGGGAGGGGAAGGGATGGGGAGGGAGCACTCAGGCCCTGCCTGGCCCCCGTCCTGCACACCCTCCCACCCCTGCAACCCCCATCCAATCCATAGTCGTTCAAACCCGGCCTTGCCGCCTCCTCCAGGAAGGCGACTAGCCTTGGCCAGGTGCAAGGACATGGGCCCCAATGAGGACCGAGCGCCACCTTCCTGTGGGGCCCAGGCCTCGGTGCTCCCCGGGCCTGACAGGGACTTTACCGAAGGACAGCGTGGCTTCCCGCGCCGCCGAGCGCACGGCCTCCAGCTCCGACAGGCACAGGCTGGCGATCTGCTCAATGCTCTCGACGGCCTGGGGAGAGGGGGCCAGGCCCATGAGGGGCACACGCACCCTGAATCCCACCCTCGAGAGCTACATCACAACTGCACTCAGCTCCTGGTAGTGGATGCGGCCGGCTAGGTCAGCAGGCAGCGCGGGAGGGTGTGTGGACACCCTTGGAGTGGTGTGACCTGCTGCCCACCCCCACCCCCCACATCAGGGCCTGGTGCCCGTCTGGTTCTGCTTCCAGGGCACCAGGCACCCTGCCCCTCTAATGGCTGCTCCAGAGGGAACCCCAGGGGGTAGGGGGCGGGAGGGGGGTGTTCATCCACCCTGGCTGCCTCTGCCAGATTCTTTTCATCTTGCAGGTCTACAAGGATTTGTTCTAAACAAGAGTTCCGGGCGCAGGGGCAGGTGGAAGCAGATCAGGCACCCAAGTGGGGGTCGTGTATGAGGAAGTCTGGGAAATGCGGTAATTCATTCCCTGAAGAACATGAACCTGGCTAAGGAGCCAGGCAGTCTAGATTTCAGAGCTTTCTCACAGACGCGCGCCATGATATTCGAGTGAAAGATGGGAAAAGACGCTTCATCCCGGGGCTGGAGCGATAGCACAGCGGGGAAGGTGTTGGTCTTGCATGTGGCTGACCTGGGTTCGATTCCCATAGGGTCCCCTGAGCAACGCCAGGAGTAATTCCTGAGTGCAGAGCCAGAAGTAACCCCTGTACACCGCCGGGTGTAACCCAAAGAGCAAAAAAAAAAAACCATGAAGCTCCATCCCTACGGTGCAAGGCCCTTCAGGACCCTCCTCCGTCCACACGCCCCCTCCCCCCACTCCCTGGCTGATCCACAAACGGTCGTATTGCTGTTTGGGAGCTATATTCAGGGGCCGGAGAGAAAGGACCCGGGTGAGGTGCTGACCTTGCATGTGGCCGGCCCTGGTTCAGTCCTCAGCACCACATGGGCCTCCAAGGACCGCCAGGTGTGGGCCAGGCCTCCCCCACAAAGTGTAACTACTGAATAGAGAGCCCACTCTGAAGTGCTCAGACACAATAAGCATGAAGATCGCGGGGCATTTCCGCATTTCTCTTATTTGAGAAATGAGAAATTTCTCATTTCGCTTTTGCTGCCTCATATGAGCATTTAGAAGACTTTCAACCCAGGCTCCCAGACCGTAGCCTCCAAAAGCTCAGAGGGGGCCCTGGGGAGCTGCCCGCCCCGCCCGCCCCGCCACCGCGAGGGGACGCTCACCCCCAGGTGCTGCAGCGCCATGCAGGCCGCCTGCTGCAGCCGCGTGTCTTCGCTGGCCAGGGCATCCGTGTAGAAGAGCAAGGCCTGGGGGAAACGGGCATGAGGCCCCGAGAGCAGGACTCGGCGCACCCCGTGTCTGTCTCTGTGAATCGCTGGCCAAGACATCCCAGCACCTCCACGCAGAGAACCAGATCCCAGAGCAGGCATCCAGGGGGGCGGGGCCCTCCCAGGTCCAGTCTCGGTCCTGGGCCCACCTGCCTGCCTCAGCTGTCTCGTCGGGGGGACACCCCTGCTTTCATGGGTGACCTAGCAGGCATGTAACTGGCCTAACCGTGAGAAGGTGGGGTCGAGTTTCTCAAGGGGGTCTGCCTGCTGCTGGAACTGTCTGACCCCTGGGCGGAGCGGGACCCTGGGACTCCGGGTGTCCTGCTGTCTGTCCTGGGTGCTGGCACCCCGCTGCCCTCACCTGCCTGATGCCTGCCCGCCTGAAGGCCGGAACCCTGCACCCCAGCCCGGCCCCTGGTCTCTGCAGTGAATCTGAAGGTGTTTCTGCCACGGTAAAAACATCTACCACCCGTCCAGGCATGGGTGAGGGGCCTGGCGGGCGAAATGAAGGTGGTTTTCTGAAAGTAAAGGGCAGTAACTATTCCAGGCAGACTCAAGGAGTCACAGGGAAGTGAGGGGCAGGGGTTCAGGGTGCAAGGCGTTCAGCCCCATGCCATGGCATCCTCTGATTGCCCCCTGGGACATCTGGGCAGCCCAAGAGAGAAACCCTGCGATCCTAGCTCCCCGGGGTGCCACAGGAGACGAGTCGGAAGCAGTGAGAAGGTTGGGGCGCCGATATGGGGGCCGGGGCCAAGGCACTGACTCAGAGACCCGGGATACCCACAGTGGCGATCGTGAGGCCAGGGGCGGGGGGAGGGCAGCTGGTGGCCACCACGGAGGGTGTGGGGGACAGCTACCTGCATTCTGTCCACACCTGTCTGTCCTTGGCCCCTAAGAGGTGAGCCACGAGGCGAGGCCGATGCCCACAGCACTCAGCACCCCCAGATGCGCAGGCGGGTGACCCCAGCAACACCCACTTCGTCACGGAAGTTTCGGAAACCTTTAAGTGGCCTTGGGCAGGGGGGGTCACTCTGGCTAAACCGGCGGACGGGGCAGCCCTTGGCACACGGGTTCCTTGCCAGGAAATGAGAGCGTTCGAGAGAAGCTTCTGCGTGACTCGGGGATGAGAGAGCTGGAGATGCCTCGGACATGGGGCTGGGGGGGTGGGGGCCCGCAGGGCGTGCCACGCTGAGGACCCCTACAGCTATAGCCTGACCCCCCCCCCCACGCTGCACTTTCCAGGAGAGAGCACCTCACCCACCTCACCCGCCACCCTCCACACCCGGGCCCCCCGCAACGCTACCTTCTCCCGGAAGCTCCTGTGTCGTGCAGCGCTGGCCAGGCGGGCGCTGGCCTTCCTGCAGGTGTGCGGGGGCCCGTCCAACTGGAGCAGCGCCCAGACGCGCAGGGTCTGGGGCAGGGGCTGGAGCCGGCCCAGCCGTCTGCCCCTCAGCTTCCCGAGGGCCTTGGCCTGCCGGGCGCACTGCAGCTCCTCCACGAGCGTCACTAGGAGAGGCCAAGGCTAGGGGCGCCGCCGCCGGCCTCTCATCCCCTCCCATCCCTGCCCGCTGCCCGGCCAGCTGGACAGGCCTCGACTGCCCCCGGAACAGGGGTCGCGCAGCACCCTTACCTTCCTTGGTGAGCTGGGCAAAGTGCTTCTCCAGGTCGGCCACCCTCTGCCGCAGCAGGTAACCGTGGAACTGGAACCAGGTGACGGTCTGGTCCTCGGGGAGTCCGGCCCGGGGGAGCAGCCCCCCACAGCTCAACACCTGCTCAAGCAGCCTGCGGCACGCTGCGAGATAGGGGGACTGCTGAGAGCCAGCCGGGCACCCACCCACCCCCAAGGCCCGTGGCACGAGGGCAAGCGCTCTCTCCCTCCCGCCCCACCGGGGGCCACCTCGGGGTGCGTCTCCGTGTCCTCCATCATCCAGGGGGCAGGCACGAGGCCCGGGGTGGCAGGGCCCAGAGTTGCCGCCACTAGTCGGGAAGGTGACCGCCCTCCACACGAGCGGCCTCCCCCAGAGACGTCCCCAGCAGCCGCCCCTGCCCCCAGGGCCCTGCTATGGCTCACTGGGAGACGCGAAAGCCAGGTGAGCACTGGGACGGAGTACCTATTTCCAGCTGTCCTGGGTACTTCCCGCGCACCCTGTGCACGAACGTCCTCTTGAGCTGGCCGAGCAGCGTGGGGGCGGGGCAGGCCAGGACCCCGCCGCGCTCCGTGCAGCCCCTCCACAGCTTCAGACACCCCTTCCTCCGGGTGGCCTGGGGGAGGACTGAAAGCCCAGCCTCAGTGACCGGACCAGGGAGCCGGGGCTCCCCCCGATGACCCGCACCTGCGCGGGCCCCCACACAACCCGGGTGTCCTGCCTGTCCTGTGGGCAGGCTGGTGCCAGGGCCCAGTCCCATCCGTTGGAGCACAGGACAGGGGCCTTGGGGGGACCCCCAAGGCGGAGGCCCAGGGCGGGCTCAGGGACCCCTTGGCCCGAGACACAGGCCAGACTGCAGAGCATCCCCGCAGCCCCCCTGCCGTCCCCTGGGGTCCCTCTGGGCTGTGGCCAGCCGGGCTTCGATGTCCAGCCCCACGTGCGGGTGGGCACTTACTCTCTTCGATGGATGTCGCCTGGCGGGCCTTCCGGAAGTCCAGCCCGGACAGCGTCTCCAGGACCTGCTTCTGCTGGACCGCCTCTTCCAGCAGGTACTCTTGGACTATCCTCGACAGGTTGGGGGAGGCCAGTTTCTGGGGATCAGCCAGGTCAGCAACAGGTCAGCAGGGAGCTCTCAGGCCCGGGGCCCCCCACGCCTCCACGGGGCACCTGCCCGAGGTGGGCCCTTCCCCACTGTCCAGGGGATGGGGGACAGGGTGCTGCTGACAGGAGCACGGACCCGGCAGGAAAGAGGGGATGGGGAGGGACCGGTCAGGACCCCTGAGCCTGGATCCAGCTATACCTGAAGCCCACCCCTGAACCGTCTCAGATCTGGGCCACTCCGCCTGTCTGTTGGCGCCACGGCCGGAGGGGACCCACTGCCGCCTTGGTTTTCCCCAGGATGCAGCAGCTCCGAGCTCCAGCGACAGCCCCCCAGGCCCGGGGGCCCGCCCGGGAACCCTTCAGCCTCACTGGCTCTTTGGGTGGGGTCTGCATATCCCCACTCTTGGTGGGGACACACCTGGCAGTGCTCAGGGCTTCCTCCTGATGCTGCATTTGGGGGTCGCTCCTGGCGGGGCCCAGGGGACCGTGCGGGGTGCCGGGACCAACGCGCCCTGCCCACTGTCCTTCCCTCAGCGCCCCCTCTCCGACCTGCAGCAGATCCTTGCACACTTGCAGGTGGACCTCGAGCAGCGTGTCCAGCTCGGGGGTGCTGGCCGGGAGCTCCCTGCATGCACTCGGCGACGGCGCTGGGGTTGGGGTCCTGTCCTTTCTGAGTCCGGAGAATCGAGCGAGCCTGTGAGCCGTCCGGCTCCCTCTGGGCCAGAGACGCTCCTTCCCCGGGACTGGCCGGGGTGGGGGGGGGGGGGGCGGGGGTCGGCCCAAATCCCCGGAAGAGGGGGTGGTGGGGAGAGAAAGTTCTGGGCTTGGGCTGTGACGGGGCCCTAGTCCCATCCCCGGGACGCTCCCCGCCAGGCTGGCATGGAGAGGGGCGCACTCACCGGGGATCCCCGAGCAGGGCCAGGTCTGCGTGGAGGAAGGCAAAGCTCTCCAGGATGCATTCCACCAGGCTCTCGGTCGAGGCGCGCTCCGGACCGGCCACGCGGGGCTGCGGGCGAGGCCACACCTGAGCCCAAGGCAGCCCCCCAAGTGAGGGGGGCCAGCACTCCCCAAACCCCCACACAGCCACGGCAGGGACAGGGGCGCCTGGAGGAGACAGAGCTGGAAGACCAGTGTAATCACGTCTGTCCTGGGAGCAGGGAGTGAGCCCTCGGTGGGGCCCTTCCCCAGGGGTCACCTGCCCGGGGTGGACTTCAAGTCCACTGGCCACTTGGTCGCTGCACTTAACCCTTCCCAGCGGAACCACCAAGGCCCCGGGACCACTGGGCGCAACAGTCAAAGTCAGCGTGTTCGGGGCCAGAGTGATAACACAGCGGGGAGGGCATTTGCCTTGCACGTGGCCAACCCGGGTTCGATCCCCGGCCTCCCATAGGGTCCCCCAAGCACCACCAGGAGTCATTCCTGAGTGCAGAGCCAGGAGGAACCCCGCAGCATCGCCAGGTGTGACCTCAAAAGCAACAAAACCAAACAAAGCAAAACAAAAAAAGGGCGGTGTGTTCCCACCTGGGAATGTGACTGTGGGTGATGTGTGGCCCAGAGTCCCACTGCAACCTCGTGTGGGTGGGGAAAAGTCGTGGGGCCACCTAGAGGCTCGGCACTGTCCCGTCACTGCTGCTGTGACCCAGCATTTGGCCACCGGCCTCAGGCTCAGCCTCTCTAACAGGACAAACATTCACTCGAGCCGGACCCTGCGCTTCTGGCCCCCAAACAGCAGACCAACAGTGGGCAGTGGAAGGCCATGACCTGATGGACAGGCCAGCAGCATTCTTGAGCGGCGAGGGTGAGGAGGGGGATCCCCCTAAGCCCCTGCCCACGAGGCGGGTCGGGGAGCAGCCTGCGCTGAGCCAGTCGGAGAACGGGCAGAGACAGAATCATGCACGCAACGACCTCTTTAGAGGGGAAGTGAGGCCGGGTGTGTGCGAATCCAGACTCCATCCCTCGGTAAAGCGAGGTATTTATTTGCTCTGTGTGTGTGTGTGTGCGTGTGTGTCTGTGTGTGTGCATGTGTGTGTCTTTGTGTGTGTATCTGTGTGTGTCTGTGTGTGTGTCTGTGTGAGTGTGTGTCTGTGTGTGTCTGTGTGTCTGTGTGTGTGTCTGTGTGTGTGTCTGTGTGTCTGTGTGTCTGTGTGTGTGTGTGTAGTGCACAGGGGTTACTCCTGGCTCTGCACTCAGGAATCACTCCTGGCAGTGCTCCAGGGGCTGTATGGGATGCCGGGGGTCGAACCCCGGGTGGGCCGCGTGCAAGCGCCCTCCCTATTGTCCCATCAAAACAGGCCCCATGTTGCTTAGACGTTTCTCTTGAAGGTTTTGGACAGGTCGTTGTTAAAGCCCAGAGCCACGCCCGACAGTGACGATCTTAAGTCTCTGGGTCGAAAATGACAATTTCACCTGCCTCTCGCCAGTGCTAGGTGGGAACGTCCTCCTGGGGTCGAGCGAGAAGAAAAAGCCAAAAGCAGTTTTGTTCTGTTTTTATTGTCGTGAGGCCACGCCTGGCCGTGCGGGGTCACCCCAGGAGCTCTCCCACTGAGCCGCACACCCCCCACGCCCCGCGCACACACGGTGGCGGCGTGGCTGAACTAGCGTGCCGGGAGCTGCTGGCGGCTCTGCGTGATTTCACCTGCATTTCAGTTTCTCCAAGCCCCAAACTAATCATCCCCCCAAGAACGGCCTAGGCTGCCCTCTCTGGAAGGTCCTGTGGGGCGCGTGTGACCTCTCGCTCTGCCAGCTCTGACTCTGGGGGTCCGTCAAGGTGCGGCAGCTTCCCCGTATTCCCACACGGGTCAGAGGCCTCGAGCCGGACCCCAGTTCTGGCCTGGCGGGGAGCAGATGGGCCGCGCCTCGACTTCCCCTGGTGGTCTTTCTCTCCGCCCAGCGCCAGCCACTGCTGACCCCACCGGACAGATGAGCAAACTGAGGTCCCCTGGGGTCCCCCGGGGCTAAGGGCAGGCTGCCCGCACCATCGGCAAAGTGGGGGCGCTGCCCACCCGGGCCCGGACCTACCTTCAGCCGCTCCCGGAAGCCGAGAACCTGCTTCTGCAGCTCCCGGAGTGGGGGCGGGGCGGGCTCCATGGACCCCAGCAAGTCCAGGACCTCCTGCAGGGGCCCCTCGAGGGCCGCCCCCGGCCCGTCCTCTCCGTCCCCCATTTCTGCGTCCTCGTGGCCGCTCCCCAGGTCGGGGTGGTCATGGAGCGGGGGGCTCTCGGCGTCCAGCATCCTCCAGCCAGGCTGTTGTGTCCAGGAGCACCCGGCCAGGTCACCGATGTCCGGCAGGAGACCCGGGGCTGGGGGCCTGTCCAGGGGCCCCTCTTCGACGGGGGGGTCGGGGCCGATGGCTGAGGGCAGGAAGCCCACGTCCAGGGTGGATGCCGATGTGCTGGTCTCTGTGTCCCGGGGGTCCTCGGAGCTGAAGGAACCCATCTCGGGCGGCCCCTGGCTCGCTGGGCCGAGGTCTCCGTCCGACGGGTAGCTGAGGAGGGACGTGGCCCTGGGCATGGCTGGCAGCGGCAGCAGTGGCGGCAGGACAGACTGGAGGGGGGCGGAGGCCCAGCATCAGCCAGTGGCGCCCAGAGCCCCGGCCTCGGCCACCCACCTCCAGCGACTCCTTCCTCAGGGCCTGGGATTTCAGGGCAGCCCGGGCAGGTGCTCGGGTGCAGTTGAAAGGGCAGTGGACTTGGGCAGAAGCTGTGTCCCAACCCCTCAGAATCCACCAGGGCAGAGAGCCATTAGTCTCCTTTCTCCGATACAGAGATGGAAGCCCAGAGAGGCTGAGTGACTTGCCTAAAGTCACACAGCATCAAGAAGTGCAAGGAGAATTCGAACCCTGACCTAACTCCACAGACTCTGCCAGAGATGACTTTTTTTTTTTTTACAGCAGAGTACAATGGGACCCACCAGGGCCAGACAAGGAAAAAGATCTCTCCAAGCTAGCCTGGGTGTAGAGGGGACAGGAGCTCTGCACTGTTACGTTGTCACCCTTCCCCTGGGCTCAACTCAACCTTCTGATTTTTGTCTCTGGTCTTTAAACCCCTTATCCCAAACGCCCCCTCACCTAGAAGGAGACGTCCCTGGGACAATTCCTGACCATCCCCTAAAAGGAGATGAGCTCGGGCCTGGAGGAAGAGCACAGGGCTTAAAAGCATGTGGTCATGAATTCAAACCCCCAGTGCCCCACATGTGCTGAGCAGGATGGGGCAGCCCGTGTGCCCATGATCCTGGCACCAAAGGCGATTTTGGCATCACACACGTGAGTGTAAGAGCCACAGATGGGTGCCAGGGGCAGCGGGAAAGATGGGACGTTAGGGAAAGCCGCTGGCTTGCACCTGGCCGACTCAGATTCCATCTCTGGCATGGTACACCGTCCCTCAAGAAGAGGGGGATCTGAAAGTCTGTAAGTCTCTAATGTATATCTCACAGTGATCTATCAAAATAATTTATTTTTCTTTTTGGGTCACACTCGGCAATGCTCAGGGGTCACTCCTGGCTCTGCACTCAGGAATCACTCCTGGCGGTGCTCAGGGGATCCTGCGGGATGCTGGGAATCAAACCCAGACCAGCTGCATGCAAGACAAACGCCCTCCCCGCTGTGCTATCACTCCAGCCCCTCATTAAAACAATTTTTTTTTTTTACTTTTTGGGTCACACCTGGCGATACACAGGGGTTCCTCCTGGCTCTGCACTCAGGAGTTACTCCTGGCAGTGCTCAGGGGACCCTATGGGATGCTGGGAATCGAACCCGGGTCAGCTGTGTGCAAGACAAACGCCCTCCCCGCTGTGCTATCACTCCAGCCCCTCATTAAAACAATTTTTTTTTACTTTTTGGGTCACACCTGGCGATGCACAGGGGTTCCTCCTGGCTCTGCACTCAGGAGTTACTCCTGGCAGTGCTCAGGGGACCCTATGGGATGCTGGGAATCGAACCCGGGTCAGCTGTGTGCAAGACAAACGCCCTACCCTCTGTGCTATCGCTCCAGCCCCTCATTAAAACAATTTTTAAAAATTAAAAAAAGAAAGAATTCCACCACTAACCCACAATAAAAAAAAAGAAGTGGGGGATCCCTGCACACAGAACCGGGGTAAGTTCTGAGCACAGCTAAGGGTGCCCACCCCCCAGAAAAAAAATGAACACAGGAGGTGACTTTTGGTGAGTGCAGCGACCACCACGAGAAGAGGCACAACCCAATCCCCAGCTCCCCAGGGCTCACGCACGCAAAGGTGGGAGGGGGGCCTCAGGCCTGTGGGAGAGCGCCCTCTGCTGGGCGGACATCTCATTGCCACAGAACAAAGCTCCGGGGTCTGGGCAGTGAGAGGGTCCAAGGGCCCGAGAGCGGCCCCTCAGGGGGCCAAGCAGGACCAGCACCTCCTGCAGACACCCCCAGGACACGCAGGAGGGGCAGCATGAGGAAGAAAAGACAGGCCAGCCCCCACCAACCACAGTGCAGGGGATGAACCCAAAGTTGCTCCCTCTGGAGGAGCCACAGGGCCCGGCCCGGAGGTCACCCTGGTCTAACAGCCCCCAAGGGTGCACTCACCAGGTAGTACCTCTCCCGGAAACTGGGGGTGCTGGGGGGCGTCCAGTTGTACAGAGACCCCTTTCTGCCACCCAAGGAGGACTTGCTCGCTGGGCTGGGGGTTCCCAGGCAGCTGTCGGCGGCATCCAGTGGACTGTGGGGGGTGGGGAGGGCACAGGGGTCAGCCCAGGGGGCTTTGCTTGCTGTCCTCAGGGTACCAAGAACAACAGGCTTCGCCGAGCACTTTGGGTGCGGGAGGAGTCCCACAAAACCATCTCTGGGCTGGAAAAGTAGCTTGTTCACAGAGGTCAGACACCCACCAGCTCGGCCCCGTGGGTCTGGGGCCAGTGGGACCCCATGCCTGGACCGCGCCTGGCCAGTGCTGATGGGTCAGGGATGAGGACAGCTCCCTGTGCCTGGCACCCTCAGGCTGGGCTGAGACAGGGCCAGGGACAAGGGTCCAGTGGGTCTGTGGCGCCCACCTAGCCCCGCCCACCAGCCTGATGATGGGAGGCAGTGAAGGGCCCTCACACTCGTGAGTGACACCATCTGGCCGGGGACAGGAGCTTAATGCCGAGACAGGACTGTGTGTCCATCTCAGTTACAGGCAGGTGGGGACCCCTGGCTCAGGCCCTCTGGGAAGGCCCAGCCCCCTGCAATGCCCAACCTAGGAGACAAAGCTTGGGACCTGACATGGCACAAGGGACCAGGGCCAGGCCCGGCCACTCGCCAAATGCCTGCAGCTCTTGGGGGACAGAGCACATGCACACACACACGCACATGAACACACACATGCACACACACGCACATGAACACACACATGCACACACACGCACGCAAACACGCACACACACACACACCGGAAAGGGAAAACAGTCTCAGTGGGAAAAGGCCACGGGGCCCCCTCACTCCGGCCGTCCCGGGACCCCGGGGATGACCAGGGAGGTGCCCGTGGTTGGTGCTCAGTACTATCAGGTCCCAGAGGCGCAGGGGAAAGCGGGAGGACAGTCTGTCCCCTTGCAGGCAGCCGGGACGCGCCCCACTCACTTCCACAACACCTCCAGCTGGAGCTTGATGGTGCCCAGCTCGGTGATGTCCACCACGATGACCTGCGGCCTGGTCGTGAAGAAGTCGGTGATGTCGCAGGTCACAGCACCCACAGCCAGGGAACTCAGGCCCCGCAGCTCCGTCACCTTCAAAGGGGTGCAGAAGAGGGTGGGGCCCAGCGCCTCGGCCCCGCCCTCCCAGACCACGCCCTCTGTGGCCCCGCCCCTTAGCCCCTTTAGGCCCCGCCCCCAAGTGCTTCTGCTGCTGTCCTGGTCACGCCCCTCGCAGGCCCCGCCCACCCAGCCGTGGCCCCGCCCCTCCCCACGCACCTTGATCTCCAGGTTGTCGTGCAGGGTCGGGGTGAAAGCCTTGTCCTCCTCGTCCCAGGTCTGGCTGTCGTCAGACTCGATCCGGCCCCTCAGCTTCCAGCGCTGGCGGCCCAGGCGCATGAGCACCTGCGGGCCAGGCGGGCGTTCAGGCGGCCAGCGAGGCGCCCTTCCCCCAGGACCCTGGTTCCCGGCCGCTCCCCACCCCGACCACCCGGCCCCGGGGCCGAGCTGCGGAGACCCTACCTCGTACTGGTCTCCGGGACAGAGGCGCGCGTAGCCCACCAGGCCTGGAACAGAGACAAGCCAGCTCCCCGCTGCCTCCTGCTCCCCCCAGGACCCAGACCTCAGTGGGGGCCCCTCTGCCCGTGGGGATAGCGTGAGGGGGAGGGGAAGCCGTCACGAGGGACAGTGGTCAGGCCAGGACCTCACAGCCAATTCACGGGGGCAGGACTGGCCTGAGGTCACAGGTCACACCAGACCTGCATGGGGCTGGGATCTTCCTGACCCAGGGCCGGTGGAGTCCCGGCCTCCCGCTCCTGTCACCTTTCATCCGGATGTGGAACTCGCCCAGGTGCACCTCCAGGGCTCCCTCGATGAGCCACATGTCCTGCAAGGGCCACAAGGGGTCAGCACCACAGAGGCTGCAGACGGCACAGTCTCCCTCCTTCCCCTCCTGTGGCTGTCACACACAGACACACACACAGACACACACACAGGCACGCACACAGACACACACACAGGCACACACACGCACATGCACATATCTGAACACATCTCTGCAGACTGTCACACACAGGCGCACACACACAGACACACACCAGACACACAGGCACCTTGGTGCACTCCTACAGCCTGTCACATGCACACACACAGACACACAGATACACAGACACACACACATGCACATATCTCGGCACATCTCTGCAGGCTGTCACACACAGACACACACACACACACACCAGACACACACACACACCAGACACACATGCACCTTGGTGCACTCCTGCAGCCTGTCACATGCACACACACACACACACACATGCACATATCTCAGCACATCTCTGCAGGCTGTCACACAGAGACACACACAGAGACACACACCAGACACACACCAGACACACACCAGACACGCACACACCTCTGTGCACTCCTGCAGGCCATCACATGCACACACACACACACACACACACACAAACACACACGCACGCACGCACCTCGGCGCACTCCTGCAGGCTACGCCCCAGCTCCTGCAGGCTGTCCCGGGACGCGCGGCTGGCCGGGCCCCCCGAGAAGGCGCGCTGCATGTTGGCGGCTCCGGCCCGCAGGCGGCACTGGACGCAGTAGCCTTCGTAGAGCTCGTCCACCTGCAGCGGGCACCCGGCGGACGCTCAGTCGTCGCGAGGGGCCTGCTCGCGGGAGCTGAGTCTGCACCCACCCAGCCCCAGGCCCGCGGGGCCGCGGCCACACTGTCTGTGCTCGGAGTCGCCCTGCCTGCGCCCCCAGAACGGGCAGGAGGGTCTGTCGGTACCTGCCGCTGCTCCCCGCACCCCGCACCCGCACCCCGCAACGGGGGACCGAGAAGCAGATGGGAGAGTTCACGGACCCGGATCTGAAGGGACCTGCTGTGCGATCCGGGGCCAGCCTCAACCCTCTCTGGGCCGCTGCCCTCCCGTCTGCACAGCCGGCACCTGAGGACTTTGGTCCAAACTGAGCCTGGCACAGCACCCACCACCAGCCCTGCCATCCTGGTCGTCGTCCCGGCACCAGAACCCCCCGCCCACGGCGACGCACCCAGGCCCACCTTGCTGATGTGAAACTCCATCTTCCGGATGTGCCTGTCCACGGCGCGGGTTTGCTTCTCGGAAACAGAGACCAGCTGCTGGCTAGGTGGCCGGATCGGCCACGCCCACCAGCAACAGCCACGCCTGCCCACACTGCCACGCCCATCCACTCTGGCCCAGGTTCCACGCCCACTGTATAGCCACGCCCACGATGTGGCCACACCCAACACGTAGCCACGCCCACCAGCAACAGCCCCGCCTACTCGAACTGCCGCACGCATTCACGCCCATAGCATAGCCACGCCCACGGCATAGCCACGCCCACTTCACAGCCACGCCCATCGCACTGGCCGTGCCCAGAAGCACTGTCACACCCACCTGCACCGCCACTCCCATGTCCCGCCCCTGTCTCAGCAACCCGTCACTGAGCACTGGACTCAATCCCAGGGCAGCCCCTCCCTACCCCCAAAACAGGGGTCTCATCGTGGAGCCTCCATTTGCAAAATGGGCCGGAAACCCAAGTGTTCCTCCGGGAGGAAGGGGCAACCAGAAGGACATGCCTACCGCAGCCCCCTTACCTGTGCGCCGACCGTCCACTCACCTTGTCCAGGTCATAATAGAAAGCCTGCAGGGCGAGAAGACGGGAGGAAGTGTCGGGGTGACCGCAGGAGCCCCCAGCCCAGCAGGCCTGAGCCAGCGCCTCCCCCGAGACTGCCCTGGGCCCAGACTGGTCCTGGCCGACGGGGAGCGCGGTCAGCAGCAGCACCTGGTTGGACGCCGGACCCTCGCTCCCGGCTGTGTGTCCCGGCCAGGGGACTCAGCCTCCCTGCGGGGAACCAGCACCCCCAGTTCAGCGCTTCCGGAGTGGCGCAGTCCCCGTGCCGGGCACCAGGGGGCGCCAGAGGTAAGCCTTTGGGGGGGGGGGGACATCGTACAAGGAGCCAGAGGGAACATTGGGGGGGAGGGAGGCCCCACCCTGGTGGTTGCGTGACCCTGGCGCCGGGGAGGTCAGTACTAGGCTGCACTCTGCCGCTGACCGTGTCCCAGTGAAGGAACTTAAAGCCCCGTCAAGGAAAGAAACAGGCGTCCCCAAGCCTTGGAAGGAGAGACCACGCAGCAAGGTCTCCAAGGGGTGGGACCCGTCTCTGTCTCACCAGGTGGCCCCTGGGCCATTTCCGCCCGGCCCTGGCCTCAGTGTGCCCTTCTGCAAAATAGAACAGCTGAGACTCTGCACCTCGGTCACTCGTCCACCCTAGGGCAAGCAGGAGCCTTCGGGGAGTGGGACAGGGACGGGGCCTCTGCCTGCTGTCCAGGCTGAGCTGGCCATGCCCAGGGCTGGCACAGGAGGTTGGGTGCTGCCTTTCCCTCCCTGCCCAGCTCTCTCTCTGCTCTGTTGAGGCCAGGTCCAGAGGTGACGATGCTTACTGGATGCAAAGATTCATTGGTCCTTCAGCTACGTCCTCAGTCAAGCCGGGATGTTATACACTCGGGGGCTTGGGAGGAGGGTCCCGGGTGCCCTGTCCCTGGGGTCTGGGGTGCCCGTCCCTAGCCTGTGTTTCTGAGTCTTTTTTTTTCTTTTGTCTTTTTTGGGTCACATCGGTGATGCGAAGGGGTTACTCCTGGCTCTGCACTCAGGAATCACTCCTGGCAGTGCTTGGCAAGGGACCATATGGGATGCCGAGGATCGAACCCAGGTCGGCCGCGTGCAAGAGCAGAGCCAGGAGTAAGCCCTGAGCACCGCCAGGTGTGGCCCCCAGACAGTAACACAGTAAAAATAAAATTAAATTAAAAAATTTAAATGCTCTCTGGCTCTCTGATGGGTGACCAAAGCTCAGAGCAGGTTGAGTTTTCCAGGGCTCAGGACAGACCAAAGACGCCCCACATAGCAGGAAGCCCCCCAGCCCGTGGATGTGGGGGAACATGCTGGCTGGACTGAGGTCAGAGTGGGGGTCACTGAGATGGGCACTGAGCACGCCAGAACCCGCTTCCACGCCTCATGAACCACCAACTGCGGGGGGGGGGACATTGTAAAATCAGGGTGACCTGAGGGTCAGAGTGATAATACAACAGTAGGGCTGACCCGGTTTAAGCCCCGGAATCCCATACGGTCCCCCGAGCCCCACCAGGAGTGATTCCTGAGTGCAGAGTCAGGAGGAAGTAAGACCTAACAACTGTGACCAAAAAGAAGAAAAAAAAAAAGAAAAGAAAAAAATCAAGGGCAATCAAGCTGGTGGCCTGAAATCTTCCAAGACTGACACTCTTTATTTATTTATTTATTTATTTTGCTTTTTGGGTCACACCCAGCTGATGCTCAGGGGTTCCTCCTGGCTCTGCACTCAGGAATCACTCCTGCCGGTGCTTGGGGGACCCTATGGGATGCTGGGAGTCGAACCCGGGTTGGCCGCGTGCAAGGCAAACGCCCTATCCGCTGTGCTGTTGCTCCAACCCCAAGACTGACACTCTGAGGGGCTGGAGTGATAGCACAGCGGGGAGGACGTTTGCCTTGCACACGGCCAACCCGGGTTCGATTCCCATCATCCCATAGGGTCCCCCGAGCACCGCCAGGGGTAATTCCTGAGTGCAGAGCCAGGAGTAACCCCTGAACATCGCCGGGTGTGACCCAAAAAGGAAAAAATACAAAAAGACTGACACTCTGAGAAAGAAAAGGTCTGTTCCTGACAGTAACTTCTAGAACCAAGGATAAAGGTCTGCTGGGGGCCAGAAGTCTGAATATCTGGGGTCGGGAGGAGATGTATGGGTCTTAGGGGAAGACGCCCCGACCAGCCTGTGGGACAGATTCAGCTAGATTCCGTCCTGAATGAAGCCTGTTCCCGGGCCCGGGCTGGGCTCCGTGGCAGGGAAGCTTCGACGACCTGGGTTCGATCTCCGGCTCTACCCCCATCAAATTCTGAGACGGAGCCTCCGTGCCAGGAGCCGACGAGAGTGAGGGAGGGTTTGTATTTGTTTGGGGAGGGGGTTGTTGTTTAGGCTTTTTGATTTGGGGTCCCACCCGGCGGGGCTCAGGACTCATTCCTGGCTCAGTGCTCGACTTCACTCCCAACAGTGCTCAGGGGACCCTGTGTGCTGCTGAGGATGGAACCCAGGTCACTGCCCTTCCCGCTGTGCCGCCCCGCCCTCAGCCCAAGAAGTTGGAGCCTGGCCGCGCCAGGCAGACACTCACCAGCCGGGAGTTCCTGTGTGTGTTACTGTGGCAGCCCGACAGGTAATCCAGTTCCGCCTGCTGGGCACAAAGGTGCTCCCTGCGGGGAGGGAGCACGGAGACTTGGAGGACTCAAGGGAGGGGTGCGAGCGGCGAGGGGCGTGCGCCCGGCCCCCTGCACCAGCCCAGCCCTCACGCACAAGAGCTGCAGTGAGGCCTGGCAATGTGAGGGACCTCTTGGGACCTCTTTTTTTTTTCTTTTTGGGTCACACCCGGCCATGCACAGGGGTTACTCCTGGCTCTGCACTCAGGAATCACTCCTGGCAGTGCTCAGGGGACTATATGGGATGCTGCGAGTGGATCCCAGGTCGGCCACATGCAAGGCAAACGCCCTACCCGTTGTGCTATCGCTCCAGCCCCGTGGGGGACCTCTTGGTGATTCCCCGGGACCCCCAGCGGCCAGTGCAGAGATAAACAAAGCAGCCCCCACAGAGGTGTGGGTTCCCGTGGGCTTGGGTGTCACTGCAGCCTGAAGGGCCCTGAGTGATGGGCCCCATGACCAGTGAACCTGGGGACCCACCCTGGGAAGTCCAGAGAAGGGGGCTGGGCACCCCCAGGACTATTCCCACTATACTTTCCAGCCCATCGAGGGTAGACAGGAGATAACTCGAAGCTTGGGGTCCCGGCCAGGGCACCCTCTTCTAGTGTTTGCTGGGCTGCCCTGGGAAAGTGGTTTGCCCTCTCTGGGCCAGCTAGCATCACGGTCTTCCAGATCTGCCTCTCCCTGGGGGCTGGGTTCTGGAGAAGAGGGGGTGCACTGGCCCCAGACAAGCCTCTCACGGGGCACCTCGTGCGACCCGCAGCAGGTAAGCGCCCCCTCCCCCAGCAGGGCACAGGGTGGGAACGGCCAGCCCAGAGTGAGAGCAAAGCCCCGTGAAGGCAGCAGGAGCCTGTCTTACTGGAGGCCTCTCCGCAGTGCCTTGAAGATCTTCTTCACCTGCTGGGGCCTGGGGTCGGGGCACACGGGGCCCTTCCTCAGGGTGCCGTACATCCTGGCCGGCTTGGCGGACGCCCGCGCCCTCACGGAGTTCCTGCAAGCAAGACAGAGGCTCAGAACGGACTCTGCACCGAGTGCTCAAGGCAGGGGGCGTGTGGGAGCAGCAGCCAGTGCCTGACGGTCAAGAGGCTCGTGGCGTCCACCTCAGCCACGTGAGTCTCAGAAAGTTACTGAGACTTCTGGGGATTCGGTTTCCTCCTCTGTACGCGCAGGGCTCGGGTGGAAGATTGGAGGGAGAATCCCCTCAGACATGCAGTGACCAGGGAAGACCGTCAGCCAGCGGGCAGCTCGGCCCGCCCAGGCCCTGGACACGCCGGAGCCCCCTAGGGGGCCAAACAGTGCATGGTCAGCCCTGACAGGACCACAGCCTGGCCCCCGGACCCTCCTCCATCTCTCTGGGCACCTCCACACGGGGACCGGAGGGGGCGATTGACTGTCACACACAGGTGCTTACAGTAAGCTCACGCACTCATACCCCCAGACGCTCAGGTACACGCACACACACTCACACACACACTCACATACACCCCCAGATGCTCAAATACACTCACACACTCACTCACACACTCACATACACCCTCAGATACTCAGATACACACACACACTCACACCCCCATACGCTCAGATACACTCACACTCACACACACACACACTCATGTACACCCCCAGATGCTTAAGTACACTCACACACACATGTTCACATACACTCACATACACCCCCAGATGTTCAAATACACTCACACATGCTAACACACTCACACAAATACACACTCACATATCCACACCCACATATCCACATTCACACACGACTCCCCCATACTCGTTTATTCTCAAACTCATACGCAGACACACAAATAACCACACGCTCCCAATGTACTCATGCACCAATACACCAGTCTCTCTCTCTCTCTCTCTCTCTCTCTCTCACACACACACACACACACACACACTCATATACTCCCACACCCAGACTCACTCTCACACTTTCACACACTCACATATATCATATATTTACACACACATGTACTCAGTTGTTCCCAGGCTAGCCCATGTCCTTGCTCTGTTCCGTGCTCTGATCCAGGGACAGGAACGAGCCACTTCCTTTCCAGGTTCTGGATTCACGGGAAGGATTCTTGGCCCCAGTTTCCCCAGGAACCTCCTCCTGCAACTCCCAGCCACCTCCTCCTTGTCCCCTCACAGGAATCTGCAGCCAATGCGAAGAGGAACAGACGGGGACTGGTCAACTCCATATGCAGTGAGTTCCTGGATCGAACCATGCCTGCAGCTCACACATGCTACTGTGGTGTGAGTTCCACGAGCCCACGTTTCTGTTTGTCCCCACTGCATTTAAGCTCCTCGGCGTAAAGGTGCCAGGAGAGCTGGCTCAGGACGGACGGGGGGGGGGGGGGGTGCCTCTTCTCAGGCCCCTGCACTTGGGGAGGGTTCTGTGTCAGCCCGCGAGGCTCTTCCCTGAGCCTCCTTCTGAGGCCCATCTGCCGTCCTGGGCACATGGGACTCGCTCTCTGCTCCGTCCTCAGCTGTCACACGGGAGCACTGGAGCTTGGGGCTCTGTTTAGAGACTAGGTCCGGCCTGTGGCACTGTGGAGCATACCGTAGGCGCCTAATAAGTGTTTGCTTCTCTGACAGTTACGGCTGCCCGGTCCTTCCCCCACCCCCAGCCTTAGGGGGTGACCCGGAAGCACAACACTGGTTCCAAGCAGGGGGCCGGCTGTGGACAGCGTTTCAGCGAGATCCCACGGGAGAGCAGGACAAAGGTGCTCCCAAGATGGCCGCATCACGTAAGGGGACAGAGGACGGGGCCGGGTGGGCACCAGGAAGCGGGGGGGGGGACCCACGGAGAGGCAGAGAGGCTGGGAGTGGGGGTCCCGCCTGCCTTTGGGAACTGGGCTGGGGGCACCCAGGGAGAAGAGCCCCAGAACCCGCACAGCCAGCCTGCAGGCAGGGACTCGGCCCCCTGCTGCTCACCTCCCGCCAAAGTGCTCAGCTGTGGACAGACCAGGCCAGGGATACAGACCCCTGGATGCAGGGGGACCCCGGGCACCGGGGCCGTGTCACTGCACCAAGGAAAGATCTGGAACCTGGAGCCACAGAGGGCCCTCGCTGAGCCAGGAGGCCAGGAGTTCATGCGGGGGCCAGACCCCAGCTCCTGGTCAGCCACTGCCTCCCTGTCCCAGCCCCAGGGGCCTCAGTTTCCCCATCTGTAAAGGAACAACGATTGCTCAGTCTGCCGTAGGTTTTCCTGACTGTATATGCCAGGGGCTGTTCTAGCAACTGGTGAGTGAGTCCAGCGGGCACCCCAGTCACCAATGCCCCTGAACAGCCCCCAGGGGGGTGGCCGTGGGGGGACACGACAGGAGATAACAAGTGCAGACCCCAAACCCAAAAGCCAGGGCTCTCTCCAGCTCGCCCGCCTGCAAGCTGTGTGACCTGGGATAAGTCGCTCACCCTCTCTGTGCCTTATCTGTTCTCATCTCTCAGGGAAGCAGAGCAAGGACGGCTGAGTCGCGTGGGTTAATAAATAGAAAAAGGGCTTTAGAGGCGCCTGGCACGGGCACAGGGGCTGTGTCTGCCCTTCACTGGTTCAGATACTTTAAAAAATGATCAGAAAGAGGGTCCCGAAGGATGGTACAACAGGGAGGGTGTTTGCCTGGCACGAGGCCAGCTGGATTCGATCCCCGGCACCCCCGAAGGTCCCCCGAGCACCGCCAGGAGTGATTCCCAAGCGCAGAGCCAGGAAGAAGCCCTGAGCATCACCGGGTGTGACCCAAACAAACAAAACAACAAAACGACCAGAAAGAAACTGCTGCCGGGGAAACCAAGGCAGAACACGAGCGGGGAGGGGCAAGGCCGGCCGGGGTGTCCTTACTGGGTGCAGGGGTGGGCATCAGCCTCCGTAGGGCGAGGTCCTGGCATCAGTCCTGGGAGCCCCCCCCAAAACAGTCTCACTGTGAAGGCGATGTCCCACCGGCCACTGCGGTGACTCCGCGGTCACTCTGCGAGCCCAGCGGGTCTCCCTCCGCCCTCCCCGGGGTGTCACCCACCTTTTGGAACGGGCCCTCCACAGACGCGGCATCTCCGGCGGCTGCAGATGTTGGGTGGGAGGGGGCAGCAGCCCCAGAGGGTCTCAGAGCAGGAGGGACCAGGAGGGGCCAGGCAGGGAACCGGGGGCAGGGGAGGTGTTTGGAGCGGGGGACTGCAGGAGTCCCACTCACCTGCCCGTTCCCAGGCCCAGCTTTGTCCAGCTCTGCCAGGTGGACGCGCCCGACAGACGCTCCCGGGCGGGCGGGATGTGAAACCCGCGTCTGGCGTCAGGCCCGGGTCAGCGCGGCCAGGTCAGGAGCCGCCTCTGGGGGCGGAGGCGTCGGCGAATATTCAACAGCCCCTGGCGCCCAGACCTGCTGCTTCCCCGGGCACGTGCCTCCGCCCCCGTGCCCACGGAGGTGGCGCGTGTCACGTCGGGTGGGGCCGGACGGGACCCCCGAGCCTGTCCCCTGCTGCCCTGCCCCTGCCGGGTGGTGTGATTCCTGCCAGTGGGGGGGCTCCAGGTGGGCAGGGCTGGACTTAACAGCCCCGCCCCTGCCAGGGTCACACTCAGCTGGCAGGAGGCCTCTCCTTCTCTGCTCTTTTTTTTCTCTTCTTTTTGGGTCCCACCCAGCGATGCACAGGGGGTTCCTCCTGGCTCTGAACTCAGGAATCCCACCTGGCGGTGCTCGGGGGACCCTATGGGATGCTGGGAATCGAACCTGGGTCGGCTGCTTGCAAGGCAAACGCCCTCCCTTTTGTGCTACTGCTCCTGCTCTTGCCTCTCTCTGGAGAAAACGGGGCTCAGTAACTGCCTCCGCCCAGCACCTGCCCCCAGGTGCCTCTCCCGTCCCCCCCCCCACAGATGCCCACGGATGCCTGAGAGCCTCTCTGGGTGCCCACGATGATGGCGACACCCCAAGACTCCTGGCTCAGTATGGTCCCCTCCGAGGGAAGGGGGTCCTGGCTGGGGGGGGGGGCAACTGTCCATGTAAACCCTGGGAGTGGGGCCAGCTGCCAGCTTTGACCAGAACGGTCGAGCAATAGCACAGCGGGGAGGGTGTTTCCCTGGCATGTGGCCCACCTGGGTTCGATCCTCATATGGTCCCCTGAGCACTGCCAGGAGTAATTCCTGAGTGCAGAGTCAGGAGTAAGTTCTGGGCATTGCCAGGTATGACCCGCCCCCCCATAAAAAAGTAACACCCCGGAATGTGCAGGGTGAGGAGGGCATCCGCTGCCCAGCTCCCTGGGCATTGCTCCGGAGGGCATTGCTGCCTTCCCCTCCCCCGAGACTCCTCCCTGTGGATTCAAAGTCCTCTCCACGGGGGAGGGGGGGAGGGGGGGGCTGGGGTGGGGGGAGGGGGGCTCAAGTGCCAGGATGGGGTGGGACAAAGGGGACCAGCGGGGATCTGCCCGTCTGCCCAGCCAGCGCCTGGGTCAGCCTGGTTGGATTAATTACCTGGTGAGGCTGAAACCCAATCCAGGCTGGCCAGCAGGAACCCAGACCCTGGGGGTCGGGCGGAGGCCTGAGGGGGGCAGCTCCCCGGGTCCTTCCTGTTGCCCAGGGCCGCTTCTCCCCCGCCCTCAGGAAGGGGGTACTGAGCTCTCCGAGGGGCCCCACTGGCTCTTAAAATCCTGATTCAGAAATACAGACCCTGGGGGCGCGGGACTCTGAAATGTGGGTCCAGGGTGTGGGTCAGAGGTGGGTCGGCGGGCAAGGAGCTGGCCTTGGGAGCGGCCGACCCAGTTTTGGTCCCCGTCACCACCCCCCCGAGTCCCCTGAGCCATACCAAGAGTCAGCCCGGAGCACAGGGCCAGAACTAAGCTCGGAGCACTGCCAGGTAGGGCCCCCAAATTCAAAAGCAACAACAATAAATGGTTCATTTGAGAAATAACAACTATGGCTTGGCTCGTTTCTACTTAGCCCCTCTCTGCAGCATTGATGGAGCACCTACTGTGTGCCTTCCTCACTGTGTGTGGGTGGAGCACCTACTGTGTGCCTTCCTCACCGTGCATGGGTGGAGCACCTACTGTGTGCCTTCCTCATTGTGCATGGATGGAGCACCCACTGTATGCCTTCCTCACCGTGCATGGGTGGAGCACCTACTGTGTGCCTTCCTCACCGTGCATGGATGGAGCACCTACTGTGTGCCTTCCTCACCGTGCATGGATGGGGCACCTACTGTGTGCCTTCCTCATTGTGCATGGATGGGGCACCCACTGTGTGCCTTCCTCACCGTGCATGGATGGGGCACCTACTGTGTGCCTTCCTCATTGTGCATGGATGGGGCACCCACTGTGTGCCTTCCTCACGGTGCGTGGGTAGAGCACCTACTGTGTGCCTGCCTCATAGTGCATAGATGAAGCACCTTCTGTGTGCCTTCCTGGCTGCACACATGGAGTGCCTACTGAGTGTTTTCCTCATAGTGCAGCCAATTGGAAGCTCAGGCTTGGGGCACTGGCCCCACCTCATCTAGGACTTGCTGAAATTTCTTTCCATTCATGGGTCAGTTTCTCCTGCTCTGACCCTCCCCAGGGGGGTCCTTGCTGTTCGCACGGTGGCTGTTTCCTGAGGCGGGCAGTGCCATCCCGGGTGCTAGAACGACCCGGGGGCGGGGGTGGGAGGCGCGTTCAGTGTGTTCAGAGAGAGACTGTTTCTGGGGGTGCCAAGTGGCCCCCGGAACTCCTGGCCTGGGAGAGACCCCCTCACTGCCAGCCACAACCCCCCTTCCATCCTTGAGGATGACCCCCTGACCCACACTGACCCTCCTCGGGAAAGGGCCCCCCGCCCCGCACCCCAACCGCCCTTCCCTCGGCTCCCGCCTCCTGGGGCCACGCCCCTGCTTCCGTTCCCTCATCTGACAGCAGAGTGCGTCACCCGTGGAGAGTGACTGATGGTCACAGTCACGGAGTCTGCCAGGCGGGCAGAAGGGGCGGCACCTGCCCCCATCCAAAATCTGATACTATTCCGGAAGCTGGGGTCCTCCACGCTGCGCTGGCCACTCCTCCCTGCACCCTCCCGGGCACTGAGCAGCCAGGGGCTGCCCACAGGGGCCAGGCTTCAGGGGGGCCCTTCGCGTGGGGTTGGAGTCCACAGAAGGAACTGGAGGAACCTGCCTGGCCCGGGCGGGGAGCCAGGCCTGGGGGGAGACAGGGGAGGGGGCTTAGGGGGCCAAGGAAGGAGAACGTGGGGAGAGACGCCGTGTGTGTGTGTGTGTGTGTGTGTGTGTGTGTGTGTGTGTGTGCCGGGGGTGGCCGCTGGGCTAAAGTCAGGCTGCTGGGGCCAAGACCCCCGGGGCTCAGGAAGCAATCCAGGGCTGCAGTGGGTGTTGACTGACTCCCTGACAGCCTGATTCAGCCCCGCTTGGCTGTGCCCTGCGCCCCCCTCGTTTCTGTTTGGGGCACATGTTGGGGTCCCTCGGGCCAGCTGAGTACCCTGCTGGGACACTGGAGTCTGTCCGGGCAGCAGCCGCGGAGGAGACACACGTGACTGGCCAGAACTCAGTCACAGCCAAGCGGTGAGCTCCGGGCCAGCGGGTCCACAGAGCTCAGAGCCTGCTCTGCGGTGAGCACTGTTGGTGAGCATCCCAGCAGACCGTCCACGTGCCTGCTCAGCCAGTATGGACCGGCTCGGCCAGCGTCCACTGGCCTGGCATGCAGCAGCTCAGCGTCACTGGATTGCACCCCACGGCCTCAGGGGAGCAGCCAGTCCTGATCCCATTTCTCAGAGGAGACTCAGACGGGCCATCACCTGCCCCCGGCCACAGGGCTGGGAGATGAGGCTCCACTTCCTGCTCTGCCAAACAGGAAAGAATTCCATCCTCATCCCGCCCTGAGGAATAATTAAGCGCCAAGTCGGCTGATCTTCCTGTGTGCCCTGGGCCGAGTGACCTCACCTCTCTGGCCTCAGCGTTCCTGAAGTCGAGTCAGGCAGACAGAATTCTGGGATCAGAGCCTGCGCGACGGCGAACGCAGGCCTCAGGGCCTTTGCAGGTTCTGCCCACACAGAGTATCTGTCACACACACATGCCCAGATGCAGAGTCACTGGCACACACACACACACTGTGGACAGAAACACTCACAGACACATAATCACACACGTACACTTACATGTGCACACACACGTGTTCATATCTCACGTGCACGTGCACAAAGGTGTATACACACACGAACACATGCATACAATGCACACCCGGAAATACGCCACACAAATGCACTTGCTACGTAGAGGCATACATGGACATACACCTCCAAAATTCACACGAGTCATATGCACATGTAGACACACACCCACACGTACCCATGCAACCAGAATGCGTGCACACACAGACTCATGCACCCACACATGTACATACACGTATGCACTCCTCCACCTGTGGACACGCACACAGAACCACCACCCGTGAATGAGCACACACAGACACACACACACACATTTTGACACATATACCTATGCCCAAACATTCATGTACACATGTTCACACACACACACACACACACACGCTCATGCCCACATGCACTCATGCACTCATACACACGTGCACACACAGACATGTGTACATGGCACACACTCACTACAGGCGCCTGAACCGCGGGGTCCCCGTGGGGTCGCGTCCGCAGGGACACAGGGTGGCACTCACGCGATCCTCCGGCTCTGGGCGCTGCTGAAGCCGGCGAAGGAGGCGCTGCGGCCCACGACGCCCACGGCGCCCGCGTCCCCCGGGGACAGGAAGCGCAGCCTCACCGACATGCCGGCACCTGCGGAGAGGACGGTCAGCCCCGGCCACTACCCGCTGCCCGCGCTCAGAGGGTGCCCGGCGGCCCCAGGACGAGGAAGCAGTCAGGAGGGTCGAGGGCGAGATGCAAACCCTCGTTTCCTATGGTGGTGACCAGCCCCTGCTGGGTCCAGCTCCGCTCACCCCAGCCCAGGGCCTGCGGGGGCAGCTATGGGCCAGACATCGCTGGGGGTGGGGGGACTTGCACGGGGCGGGCTGGGCCTCCTCAGGCCCCCGTTGTTGGGGAGGTCGCAGCCCCCAGTCACCTTCGGGAGCTTCCACTGAAGTGACGCCAGCCCAGGGGAGCCAGGCCAGCACGGAGGAGGCGGCCAGAGAGGAGAAGAAAAGGCTGCAGGGGGAGGAGGGGAGGAAGGGAAGGGTGTGGAGGGCACAGGGAACAGCACGGGCAAAGGGCCGGTGGTGCAGAGGACTCGGCGTAACGTGAGACAGAAGAAGCCGTGACCCGCTGCCCTGCCCTGACCCGGCCACGGGGCGCCGGCCTGGCACGCGGGGGCCGCCGTTTCCCAGAGCTTGGCGAGGCTGGACAGACGCCTCCCGACCATCGGAAAGTTCGCCGCAGTATCTGACCTCAATCTTGGCCGCTCTGGTTTCGAGCCTCCCTCCCGGGCCCGGCTGGCTTGATCCAGGGGTGCCGGGACCCCACTGCCCACACTGACCCCACCACACCCAGCGCGGCCCCGCACCGGCCCCCATCACTGTCACCCACCACACCCGCCTCTGCTCTCCTGCCTGGGTCCCGCTGCTTCCTGTCAGCCCCTCCCCCCGCCCCTCCCCCCTGGAAACCACAGTGATCCCAGCGTGCGCACAAGCTCCCTGGCTCGGGGCCTCGGTGATCCCATCTGCAGAATGGACGTTCAGCCAAGGCCAGAGGAGACGCAGAGGGGGAGCAGGCAACGCGGGCGCCTCTGTGCCAGGGCCTGCCAGAACCCCGCTGCCCATCGGCCAGGTGTGTGCCTACAAAGTCCACCCGCGCTGGTGGCTAGAGGCTGGGTGAGTGCTCAGAGATGCATTGGGCTGAGGGGGAAACTGAGGCTCAGAGACCAGCAGAGCCACGAACTCAGAGCCCGCCTGAGGGCTGGGATGCCCTCACTCTGTCCCCAACTCTTGTGCTTTCTAGAACGTTCCCCCAACTTCCCCCGGGTCACAGTCTTTAGGGTAAAAGGGAAGGACTTAACCACAATGTCCGTCTTCCTGGGGGGCCGGGAGAGGAGCGTGCAGGCTGGGGTCAGCACCCACCCGCACTCTGAGGGTCAGTGGCCCCACTTTGGGTAAGAGCAGAGACTCTCGGGCAGAAGAGGCTGGCCCAGGGCGATCCCATTTTTCAAACTGCAGTTTCCTGGTGAGCCCCCCCTCCTCGTCCTGTTCAGATGCCTCCCCCGCCAGGCAGCCTTCGGGGGCTGCCTCGGCCTCACCTCCCTTCCAATCCCTGGGTCTGAAAATATGGTGTGTCTGTCTCCCCACAGAGCCAAGGGCTGGTCTTCTCTGGTGCTTGGAATGTTCCAGCCCATTTTCAGGAAACCAGACCATGCCGACCAGAGGCTAAGCGGCTTCCCCATCGCCAGACTGTGCAGTGCCAGGGACCGGCAGTGGAATAAACAAGGAGAAGGGTGGGAATAAGGTTGAAGGAAGAAGAGCCAGTGGGACACTCGGTGGCCAGAGCAACTGCCTTGCAAACATGAGGTTCTGAGTTCGATGCCGGTGCCTCCCACATGCGCTCACTCTCCCAGGGGCTCTGGGCCCCGTGGTGCTGCACTAGCATGTGTGCTGGCGTGCAAGCATGACCCCTAGTGAGCACTGCCGTCAAAGAGGGGTCAGAGGCACACCCCTGCAAGCACGTGTGTGCTCCCGCGAGCACTACAAGCAGACGATGTGCACGCGGCTAACGGGTGTGCACCTGCCCCTGGCCAGTGTGCGAGTCGCACAGACAAGCCTGCAACCCCCTCCCCCCACTCTGCAGTCACCACCAGAGACCCGCCCCTCCATCCCGCAGTCACCAGGGCAGAGGCTCTAAGGGGTAGGTTGGGGGTGAAGAGTGAGAGGTGCTGAGAGTGGGTACGGGGGTCAGGGTCCCTGGCACCACCGAACCCCCGAAAGCCCTGGGAGTCCCTGAGCACTGCAGCCCTGAGCAGCACCACATTCTCGCTGCCTGAGCCGAGGGACTGAGAGTCACCAGGTGCGGCCCCCAGATACCTGAGCACTGCCTGGAAGGAGCACCCACAAAGTAATATAAAAAGAAGAACAAAATTAGGCACCTCCACTCGGCGCTAGACTCCAAGGCAGGGGAAGACAAGCATGTTCTCTAAAAAGCCAACGAAAGAGCGCAGCAGGTCACGTGATCCGTCACCCTTCACCCCGACTGCCTCAGCGCAGAAGCGGCCACAGTGTGAAGACACACGCTTGGCAACGGCCAGTGAACTTTCTTTAAGAGAGCAGCAATGGTGGGGCCGGAGCGATAGCACAGCAGGGAAGGTGTTTGCCTTGCACGCGGCCGACCCGGGTTCGAGTCCCAGCATCCCATAGGGTCCCCCGAGCACCGCCAGGAGTAACTCCTGAGTGCAGAGCCAGGAGCAACCCCTGAGCATTGCCGGGTGTGACCCAAAAAGAAAAAGACAAAAGACAGCAATGGCTAACAGCACCCTGCTGACCCCTGAGTAGCCAGCACAATCTCTGACCCTGGGCTGCCTTGGGACCACCAGGAGGGTCCCAGAAAGCTGGGCAACTACAAAGCGGCCCGCCCAGCAGGCTGGAAGTCCCCCAGGCCCCCCAGGACCCACGCGCGGCAGGGGCGGGGCCAGGCGCTTGCACCCGGAGACCCCTAAGTCCACTCCGAGCCCGCGAGGCCGGCTGCGCCCCCTCGTGGCTGATCCCGGTAGGGCAGCTCTCTCCCAGCTCTTTCCAAGTCATCCTCAAGGAGACCCAAGACAGCGGAATCCTGGGGTGGCCTGAGACCCCAGAACCCAGGAGCCTGTCGGGGGTGCGACTCCGAGGTAGATGGGGCCTGAGTTGGGGCCCAGCACCAACACCCCCCCTCCAAAAAAAAAGCCCTTCGGTGGCTGAAGACATTCCTGATGAGCCCAGGGCTGCCACCGAGGGTCCAGGGGACACGTCCTAACAATCTTTGATCCCCGCCACGAGGGACAGAGGGGGGAGCACTGAGTCTGGGGGGTCTCCCACCTCCCGCGAGACCCCCCACGCCCCCCTCCTGCTGCTGGAGCTGGGGGAGGGGGCTCCTGGCCCCTGGGCAGAGGGTAGGACCCAAACCTTAGGTAACGGCAGTGCAGTGTCTCGCTCGTGGACGAGGGGTTGGCCCGGCTGAGTGGGCCCCGGCGACCCGGGAGCAGCAGGCAGGGCTCCCGGCCGGACTGTCCCTCCCTCCCTCACCCGCGGCCCCTCTGGCCAGAGGCAACCTGCAATTTCACCTTATTTGGGGGTGACGCGTCTAAATTTAAGGCGGCAGCTCTGCCGAGCCCGTACTTACAGCTCCTGCACATCCGCTGCAGGGCCAGCCTGGGCCCCGCCTGCTTCCAGGAGCTTCCAAAATAGCCCCTTCGCTGGAGCATGAAAGGGAACGGCCGGGCTGGGTTCAGACGGCGCGGACGGCGTCCGGGGAGGGGGCTCTGGGAACTGGACTCTGGGCTGACGGAGTCCAGCGCCCCGGGCAACGCGGATGGCCGGCCTGCAACCACGTGGCAGGCGCGATCCCCCAGGGGGCCTGGAGGAGCCAGAAAACCCCGATTCCTGTTCCCCCTCCCGGCCCCCGCATAGCCCTGGCTCCTCAGCCGCGCCCCCAGCCCCGCGGGCTGACAGGCAGTGCTCCCCCCCACCCCATCGCCGCCCTCCATAGCCTCAACAGCTGGCAGAAAGCTCACCTCCTCCGAGAGGCCCTCTGGGATTCCTCCCCGCCAGCCCCGGCTATAGCAGCCTCACCCCCTCACCCTGTCTAAGCTCCTTCCGAGAACTGGTGCCGCTTTGCTCCAAGCCTCTTGCCAGTTTGCGGGGAATGAGGGGCCGGGGCTGGGGGTCCTGCCAGTCTCGGCGCCGTGGGGCAGGGCTTCCTGCTCCTCTTCCTCCTCCTCCTCCTCCTCCTCTTCCTCCTCCTCCTCCTCCTCCACCCGGGGGCTCAGAGCCTCCCCCAGCGAGCAGGGCTCTGGGATTGTCACACAAACAAGCAAGTGACCAGAAGCAGCTCCTCAGAACTGCCTGGCCAGGCCGGGTTGGGCACCTGCCCCCGCTGAGAGCCGCCTGCAGGCGCGGCCTGGACACTGCCCTGGGCCCGGGTCTGGCGGAGAGACTCGAGACACACGATGAGCAACGGACTTCGTGTGATGGGGAGGAGCCAAGTCTGGGGAGCAGACCTAGACCCCCGCCTGGCCCAGCGGAACTGAGTGGGCGAGAACCCCTGGGCTTCACTGCGGGAATCAGCTTAGCAGAGGGAGAGGACGGGATGGAACAGTGTGGCCGGGGTAGGGAACAGCATGTGCAAGTACTCAGAGACCAGAGAACACAAGCAGCAGAGGAAGCGCGGGTCTGTCTGTCTGTCCCTCTGTCTGTCTCTGTCTGTCTGTCCCTATCTCTCTGTATGTCCCTGTATGTCCCTGTCTGTCCCTGTCTGTCTGTCTGTCTGTCTCTGTCTCTGTCCGGAGCCTCAGGTACAAAAGATCCCAAGGGGTGAAGCCCCCGTGGGGGAACAGGGGGACGGGGTGCAATCTAGCTGCCTCCAAGGAGAAGTGGGTCGGGGGCCGTCAGCACCTCTGTGTCCACACTGTCCCCTCGTTGAGCCGACTGTATACCTGGCCAGAGACGCGTGTCCCAACAAGAAATGAGCGCCTACTGCATGCAGGCCAGGGGCTCTGAGGGGGCACCTCGGCTCGACCGCAGGCTCAGCACAGAGCACTGTTACGGGGAGCCCAGACCCTCTGTGCTGCCTTGATCACTGCCTCCTGCTCCCCCCGAA